AATAAAAAATACATGTTAAAATGACGGTTTTTATTTAAAACCACCCCAGATAGCAAATTAGTAATGATAATGATCCTAAAATATTAGTAATTCAATAAATTTAAAATATTCTTAACATTATATTTGTAATATTATTGCAGTAATGAAAAATAAATATTACTCTATTATTATTAATTCCTAACAAAAATAATATTATTTTTTAAATCATATCATAACATATTTTAATTAAAATTTACTCATTAGATATCCGTATCAGTATACTAGAAATCATACTATACTATTTTTAATTAATTTCGAAAAAAATATTATTAATAACATTGATAAAATCTAGTGACATTAGTATACTACTATTGCGACAGCTAGGGGGTTGGGTTGGTGGTCGTGTTAAAAAATATTCAATAAACATTATTCTGATACAATAATATTACAAAAATATTTTTGTTATGTATTTGTGTCGGAATAATAATTATATATCAATATTACTCATTAAAAATGTAATTTTATCAAAATATTATTATTATGAGATTTTGTTATCTGGGGTGCTAACGCACCATTGCTGTAGTGTAAGCAAACGGTGCAGCACGCACACACTTGTAAATCCAGTATTCCCTTTCCCATTACCTATACGTACTCATCTCGTTAAAAAGTAATATTTTATTCTATTTAACATGCACTTTACGTATAATTCGATTCGTGTGCTTCGATACTTCAATAGTAATACGATTATTTATTTTTTTTAGATTCGGAGTGGAGCGAAGATGTTTATGGTTTTACAAAATTATTGATTTTTTTTTTTATCCGCACGCGACATTTTTACCAGAAATCTTGCTCCGATTTTTAAGTGTAGCAGCTTTTCTAAAAGAAAATCGAACTGGGGAGGTACAATAAGAAGTTCATTTTTAGAATTTATCAGGAGTATTCTTATCAAATGTGAAAAACCAAAAAAAAAAACATGCGAAAACTGGGAAAAACGTCCGAAATCAGGGAACATTATTATTAATTACAAATATTATTAAAGAAAATATATAGAGCCTACATAATTATTTTACTATAAAATGGCATATATGTTTTTGACAAAACATCACTATCGACTGAATTCCGCTCAGAATCGTTTTTTCGTCAGCAACGTTTAATCGATGTTTACAGATATGCATTAAATTACTTATACTGCACCCGTCCCCATTATCCTAGGACGTCTTTTGTTTGTTTTAATCCTATTAAAATTCTAGTGTAACTATAAAATAATAAAACATAACGAGTTTATTTCAGTAACTGTAGTGTACGATATTTTGCTCCAGACAATCAAATTGCGCCATGCAATTTAACAAATGTATTATTGTGTCTCGCCTTTTTTTTTTTTTTTTTTTTTTTTTTTTTTTAGTTTCCCTCCGCGATAGTTTCATGGTGAAATGATAATTATCATCATGCATGGTTATACGTTTTGGAACGGATCCCACCGAACGGCTAACAAATTTATTTATTTATTATTATTATAATATATGCGAGCGTATCTTTATGTTTTTTTTTTTTTTTTTATACGCGAAAATAAAAAGGAGCGGAGAGACATATAATACTATTAGCATTATTACCCCTACACGCTGCAGACTCATTTAAGTCGAATGTGTTTATATCTTTAGGTATATACGATATAATAAACCACAGGTTCAACGTACGGTCAACGTACTATAAAAATCATAATATGTAAATTAAAAAATACAAATTTTAGCCTTCGAAAATGAAATTGTATGCACAGTGATCTATACCGAAAATAATAACTAAAATATATATTTAAATACATGGTGATTAATTGATCATGCTCGCTCCATTATTAGGGGTGAACTATACCTGTTATATACAAATTTTGATTTTCGGTATTTTTAAGCGATTGGATTTTTTACAAAATTTAAAGAGTATCCGGTTGGCGATAACAAATTTGTTTTTCAAACGAGAATTCATTTTAAAAATTCCACAAGTAGACGGAGCATTAAATAAATTAAATTTTGTTGTTGAAATTATCGATTTCCGTCGACTCGTTCGCGAGATACACCGCTTTTAAGTTTAGGCTGGGGGAGAGTAATGAAGTATAATTTGTGTAGCGGCACAGCGCCAGGTGTTTGAATAGTGTTCCGCTACTCACACCTGCCTCAATTTAAAAATCGACAACACGAAGTGAAGTTACAGAGTAGTAAATGTCGAAACGCATTATATCCCAGTCGAGTTTGCGAGTTTCAAATCAATAGTTTGACGCGTTGATTTGAAATTGGTTTTTTTCCTCGATATCCGGCTCTTATGTGTCCAATACCCATTGTCGGGCAGAGTAGATTAGATTGATTAGACGATTTATCCACGATTATTGTTCGCCAATTCCCCTCCCACCGAAAACTCCCGGACCCGTCACCGCGTCGACAACGTTAATATCGTAGTATTTAAACGACGAGTGACGAAGCCTACAACATAATAATATGGTCGGAAAAAATCGCAGACCGTAGGAAAAACTGGAAAATCGGTACATTAAACAAATATCGTTAAAGACAACATATAATTCTTATCATTTATTATTTTACCATAGTATATATACATATACATATATATATATATGTATGTCGTTGACAAAGCATCACTATCGACCGAACTCCGCTCAGCGTCGTTTTTTTTCGTAAGCAATCGTTTAACGTTGCTTACAGATATACATTGAATTACCTATAACAGTGGCCGCACCCGTCCCCATTATCCTAGGACGTCTTTTTTTTTATTTTATTTTTTTTTTTTATTTCAACGCTACTAGTACTAATAATAATGCTACGACAATACTCCATATGTTATACGGAGTATGAATATTTTAATTTTATTGAGCGCGTTCCAAAACCGTTTCTCGAGATTTATTGCTTTTAAGTTCAACGTAACTATCAATGACCATGACTATACGCAAGTCGGGTCCTTTCTAGACACTCCAACTCTTGCTTCTAGACGCGTCCTAATGGATATTTCCATTGCTCAGAGATTGGTCAATGGTTCGATTGATGCGCCCGACTTATTCATTGATAACACTTATAACATCTCTGCTCACAGTAACCGTTCAACATCTATTTTTTATATGCCAATACACAGCGCAAATTACATAAAATACTCCCCTATTCCGAGGGCTCCGGCTTTGTGTAATAAACTTTCGACGGATGCGGATTTCTTCTTTTCACCATTATCGATTATCTTGAACTCACGTCTAAATGTCGATTTGTGATACTGAGTAATACAACATTACTATTTCTTTTTCTGGTTTTTTAATTTTATCGTATCGTTTTATTCTTCTCGAATAAATTATTATTGTTAACAATATTATGAATGATAGCTGGAACCTATATAATATAATAATATGTGTATTTTACTAAAAAGTCGATATTTCGAAAAAACCTCTGTCGTTCTGTCGTTTAAAAAACGAAACCTGTACCACGTAGGTTTCGGATTATTATCGAAATAATAAATAAATCGACGACGATTACTTACCTATAGGTTAGTAATAGTTAATCAGTCACAAAAATATATAAATTGTTTAGAAAAATGTTGAAAATTTTTTTTAGCCCGAGTATACACAGGTGCCAGGTTCACAATAGTAATACAAAGTGAAAGTTCCGAATTCAAAGTATCCCCCGTTGAAAAAATCGTTTGAAAATAAAAAAAGGGTGGCAGGGTCGTATTTATGGGGGGGGAGGGTTGAGTAGACTGCAGACATTTTAAGAATATCTAAATGTTATTTCCACGATCTACGGAACGCGCCGCAACAGTCTTCAATTACGTTTTATTGATTTTAAATCCGTATCTTTATTTTGTTATCTTGTCTTGTCAATGATGCGGACAACTTTTCTACCAACCCTCTGCTCCGATTTACAATGATAGCGGTTTTTCTGAAAAGGAAATCGGACTGGGGAGGCACTTTAGAGAGGTTATTTTTTTGATTTTCCCATTCAATGGGAAAATCATAGTAAAACCGTGAAAAACTGGAAAATAGGTACAATATTAGACGAATATTTTTAAAGAAAACGTTCAATGCGTGTGTGATTATTTTACCATAATTTATGATACATAATATATTGTAGACAGAGCAACTGCACCATCGACCGAACTCCGCTCAGAATCATTTTTTCGTTAAAAATGGTTAACCGTTACATATTACATTAGATTCCCGTCCGTATACCATACCTTGTCAACTTTTCGCCTGCATACGTCCCCATTATCCCCGTATGATGCTTTTCCAAACTGTCCAAACTATGAGTTTGTCGATTGTATACTAACCGAAATAACCGCACGTACCATCATAACCAAATGTGTTCTAAACAAACTGTTTTCTGGACGATTTATTTTCTTATCGATCAATGGTGTGTTCCGAACGCGCATTAATAGAACGGTAACAGAATAGCATTTATGTTATTATGTTAACTGCGCGGTTTCGGCGGCGGTGAAAACGATTTTCATCTATTGCGCCGCGGCGATGCCGGCCCGTAACGCCGCAGGAAAGACGACCGAAATTCTGACGGCGCGGCGGCGGTGTGGTGGCTGCAACAGCGGCGGCGGTGTGGTGGTTGCGGCCCCTGGCGACGGCGGTGGGGTGGCTGCGGCAGCCGCGGCGTTCGATTTCACCGTCTCTCGCGCGGCCGGCGGCGCGGACGGGGGCGGCGGTTTCAGGGACCGCGGACGGGGTGAGGCTCGGGTACCGGAGGGACGGGCGCTCGAGCCTTTGCCCGGGGGCCGATGCGTGGGCAAGAGAGCTACGCTGGTGTGCGTAAGGGTGGCGGACGAGTGGGCGCCTACCCGCCGCACGACCTGCGGGCGAGAGGACTACGGCCGGAGGGCGAGTGGTCGCCCGGACGAGCTCCGCCCGGCTGCTCCGATAGGCTGGCCGCCTGAGTTCTGGGCGACGTCTACGAGCCCGGCGAGCGTTGTCGACGAGGCCCGGCCAGGAGCTTATAAATAAGAGTGGAATGAGGGATATCCGGGCATCTTGGACGTGAATCTCAACCACTGCGGTCTTTCCGACAATAGTTCGTTGCGATTCTCGCGCTCCCGCAGTCTCTCGTACTCTGTGCTCCCGACTTGGCCGGTAATTTATTACTGCCCGTCGCTTCGCAGCCGGTGCCGATAGACTCTTTCTTTACGATCCGTTTACCATCGCGGTTATTCCGCACTTGCCGCATTCGTTCGGCGGATTATCGAGTATCAAAAATAATTTTTAAACAAAAAAAAAAAAATTTTTTTTCGAACAATTTCGATTTGAACGGCCGACTCCCGAAGAGGATACTCTCTTCCGGCGGCGCTCGCCCGCTGTTTTATATAATATCTAATATTATATAAAACAGAAATATAAAAAACATCCAGTCAGTCGATTTATTCCGAAATTTCCGACGGTGAGTGACCGTAACATTATTTTTTTTTAAACAGCCATCCGACACTTTATGTGTATATCAAATTCGAACTGTCGATTTTCTAGAATTCCCGGACCGCAGATTCCAAGACGAACGTTCCGTCGCGACCCGTGCAGACTCACAGCCGCTGCCCGCGCCCACTCGCAAATCGAAGACTTCGCCGACCGAAGTTGAAGCAGCCGCGGCCGATCCGACAGACAGGGACGGACGACCATCGACACTTGGCTTAGGTAATATGAACGATTTAAATACTTTTGACCGGTCAAAATTCGTTACAAAAACCTAAATACTTCGTTTCAGGTGTACGCGCAAAAAAAAAAAATGTATTTCTTCATAATTTCCGTCACTGTTGTTATTTTATTGTTATTTTTTTTTTTAATATTCTCTCTCTTTTCTAACTATATGGTAATTTATTAACGCTTATGAAACAAATACTTTATTTTTTTCTTTTCTTTTTTTTTTATCGTCTCGTTTATATTTTCCGTAATATTATTTTAATATGTATAATAAGCGCTATATTTCGATTGATTCTGAGCGACCGGAAAGAACCCAAATTCGAATATTGTTACGTTTCCGGTAAAGACGAAAAAAAAAATCCACAAGTCCGTATTGAAATCGATTCGACAGAACAATAATAATAATAAATAAAAAAAAATCCCCGATTAACGATAAACAAAAGTTTTCGCACGGAATTGTCTGCGTTTAAATTGCGTTTTGTGCTTTTATTGTTATACTTTTAAATAATTTGTTTTCAGGTGTTAATAAATTATTAGTGTTAAGAAAAATAAAAAAAAAATTACATGTGTACCCGTATTGTAATAATATCATGTATTTTCTGGTGCTGAACCGGTTAGAGAAGGTCAAAAGTTTTAGGTCCCAACTGATCCCGACTTTTTCGTTTTTCAAACTGCGCTTGTCGTATATATTCCACGCGCGCGTGTACGTCGAATTGTCGAGAAGAAACATTTACCGTTTCAAACTCGTCGGCGAATATTTTTTCTCGGTTATCTTGGCGTACAAAAGGATTCCGATTTTCGCCGTTGTCGGCCAGTCACTCGGGGTACCCCTCTTCAAGACATAACTTCAAATTCGACGATAAGTCACTCGCGCAAACGGAAAACGCGAAAAGTCCACGTAAATTTCGGTAAAACGCGGCGATATTTTTCATTCGCTTCCCCCCTCCCCACTCTCCGTACACGCGCATTTTCGCACCTATTCGCACATCCATACGATACGTGAAACGCGTTTTAACGATTTTGACCGGGAACTATGCGCAATAATCCAGTGTTGCGTGCATACGCAAATGTCGGGCGTTTTTACGTCTGATCTTTTACGCGACTTAATCATAAAGAGTTAATGCGCCCTAAGCTATATTATAATAAAATTGCGTTTTTATCATTATTATTGTTATTTAAATCTTTTTTTATGATGCTATTTTTTATGTGTACTATATAACTATATTTTTTCTTCCCAGTAGGTAGTGACGAAACCTAAAAAAAAAAAAAAAAAAAAAGTCTAAACTAAACTAAATACTACAAACGAAAAGTATTTGATTTCATCGTATACACAGTTCGAAAATATTATATAGAAGACAGACTCAAACATTAATCCCGGGTTTAAATTTTTTATTTTTTTTTTAATTTTCATTATTGCTATTATTATTGATATTTTTATTATTATTCGTATTTTTCGGGCACTGCGTGATTACATACTTTCGTGATTTTTGCAATTGCCTGATGGAAGTTTCCTATTGGTTAATTGCGTATCTTTACTGTCTGGGTCATTTCACGCATTTCGTTTGCATAAACTATTATCGTTTTCTTCGAAATATTTTCGATCAGTGAGCTGTACCAAACAGATAACGATAACAGTACCTTTAAACCAATACTCCATCGAGAATAATACGATTATAATCGTTTTGAAAAAAAAATAAACAATAATCACACACAACTGCGTGCTGTATTTTTGAAATCTAAAAAGAATGATTAGGTTTCTTTGTGCTAGTCTCGCAGTATTTGTAATTTTCACCCTCGAGCATTGTATAAATTTTTTTTTTTACGTGTTCTCTTACCGGAAACACATACCGAAGATCAATGCACCGTCACTATTGTCTATGTTTGAGAAGTATTTGGTTATGGTGCGTTTTAAATATCGTGTTCCGAAAATCGAAGTACGAGATAATTCGAAGCTAATTCGGTAGAAATTCGATCTTACTGGCCGTTTGGGACTACGCTTTAAAAGTCTCAATTTAATACGTGAATTAATATATACGTGAAAACGTGTATAAAAATATTGCACTCACGTATACATAATACACGTGCATTTCTATCCGTGTTCACGTGTTTTAGTGTTATTCACGAATTCGCGTTTTCGCCGTTTCGCATATTCACGTTTTAAAATATTCACATAGTCACGTATTTACGTGTTCAGGTTTTCACGTATTTGGTTATACCGTTTACACTATTCGTTCGTAATGAAGTTTTCGGTTAAAATATGAAATTATCATAAATGATTACATGTTTTAATGTTATTCACGTATTCACGTGTACACATGTTCACGGATTAACGTATTCAAGTGGATTATTGTTATTTACATATTCACGTATTAACTTGTTCACGTATTAACGTGTTCACGTATTCACGTATTCACGTGTTTTAGTGTTTTTCGCGCATTCTCGTGTCAACGTGTTAACGTGTTAACGTGTTCACGTGGTCACGTGTTTTTAAGTACACGTTTTCAAATAACGATAGATCACAAAAAAAAAAATAAACGTTATTACGTTAAATTTATACTTTTTTCCATAAAACTATAAGTTATATAATTTTCATATCCAAACTTTTTCAGTCTATTTTCTCTCATTTTGTCTACTATCAAAAACCATGTATTGGCTATATTTTATCTACTCTTTCTTTATCATATTATTTCTTGTCACTTCATTCATCCACCTAAGCATTCTCGTCACTGCTATAAACTCATTCTTTATTCTATTTTTCTGTATACCGCCCAACAATTTAAACAGTCTAAACGAGACATTATCTCAACAAGTTCTTCTAGAACTTACTCTTTAGTTTCATTGAATTTGCTTGTTACATAAAACATCTGCCACTTCTTTCCATTTTTTCCAACCACAATTAATCCTATGTTTCGTAACCACATAAAAGCCACCGTTATGGTGTACCAAAGAGCCTGGGTACTTACAACTCTCAACCTCGCTTATTATGTCACCGTTTATTGTCGTTGGCTGTCTTTTCTTGTTTCTCAAAACCCATATTCTGTTTTACTACTAATCCTTTTAAGTGCTACTCTCCATTTCTCAAGCCTATTGTTAACTTATTCCAGATTTTCTCCTATCAAATCTATACCATACAAAAATCATTCACCATAGTATCTCCTCTCACCCGTTTACCCCGTACACATCCGACAATGTCCCATCATAGGTATTGTTTAGAACTCATCGTACTATTCGACAGAATTTTACATATAAAAAAAATATACACCTACGGGTGTTACCAAGTACTTAACACATTGCAGTATCTATTGCTCATAAGCGCAAACCCGTCCGTGTTCCTTTTACGTTTTCTTTCCGATTTCTCCCCCAAATAAGGTCCAAAGTTGAACAAAAAAAAAAAAAATGGGTCTTTCGTCTTGTTTTGAAAATAGTTTTGGCACGCTAGAGTTCATAGATTTCGGCCTATCTCACTGTACGTCGTCTAAACGCACGTGTATGTGTAATTTTTATGTCATATTTATTATATCTCGTTTTTTAAATTCTCGTATTATTCTTACGGAGTATTTATTTATTCATATTTCGTTCAAAAAAAATTTATTACAATACGCTTATAGGAAATTTTTCAGGCATTCAAATATTAACAATAATAATAAAAAAAAAAAAAAAAAAACAAAAAAAAAATAATAGTAATAATAATAATAATAACAATAATCATAGTAATAAGGGCATTGCTAACAATATTATTATATTAGTGTCCGTATAAGTGTTTTGCTTGTTTGTTTGTTTGTATAAGGTATTTTATTCGATTTATATATTATTAATTAATGCGTTTGAGATAAATTGGTTTATTTTAGTCATTTTTTTCTCGCGGGAATTTTGTAGACAGAAATTAAACAGGTAGTCCCACGTTTTATAATTATAATATAATATAAGACTACATTAAAAATATTTACAAATTTATCAGCTATGTTCATAATTATTACTATTTTATTTTTTCATTAAAAACGAATAGCTAAAAACAATGATTATTTAAAAATAGAAAAACAATTAACAGTATTTATTGAAATTTCGCTTAAATTATGAAAAAAATGTAGATATTATTCGTGTTTATCTTAAAATTTTGTTTCGCTGAAAAAAAAAATGTCGATTTTTATGTACTTTTATTTACAAAATGTATAATAATAATAATAATAATAATAACACCTAACAGTTATGATATTGTATAATATAATATTTGATTTATAATAATCATTTATAATTTACGATTATAATGTTCTATTATATTATCGACACGATTTTCACCATATTATGTAAAATGATATTATTTGGGATCATACTTACCCGACAATTTTCACTTGTTTTATTATTTATATATGCACACATTATAGTATTTATTATGTTTAAAAATCAATTTAAATAAAACGCATTATAGCCAATTTAAAAAAAAAAATGTCGTATGTATGTTCAGTGTTCATATACCTATACATATATATATATATATATATATACATATATATATGTATGTATACACGTTATATTCAAAACAAAGTTTGATTGAATAGGTGTCAGGTGTCAGGCTCGGGATATGATTATCGTAACCTATAATGTGATGTCTCTCTTTAAGAAAAAAAAAATATACATAATAAACATGGTTAAACACCAAACCAAGAAAAATATTTGCTAATATTCGCTATTAATATATTCGTGTATTGTCCTCAAATAAATCAATAGTATTGCGATGCAAAGCGATAATATCGATATTACCGACAGTATAAACGGTCACCCGATTATAGTTCATGCGGTGTTGCGCCGATCGCGTTGTTGGACCGGCGGTAACGTGACGGCAGCAGAGAAAGACGCCACCTCAATCCGAAACAGGTCGATAAAAAACATTGACGGTGTACAATTGTTATAGCGTCGCGCCGTCCACGCTGCGCGCGTTTCGCGGACACGCGTTATAACGGGCCGGAATCGGTTATTCCGCGTTTTTCGCGACTGTTCGCGAAATTCGAAAACGAATTTGATTGCATTTTAATAGCCACCTAATGACGTACGACTCTACCGCTTGTCTATCGCCGGATACCGCATTGATGGGGAACGGCGGCTTGTGCCCGATGTTTGCGAGAAGAGGTACGGGGAAACGGTACAAAAGACCGGGGGCGGAAACCCCTCCAAAGAACAAATTCTCACTATTCTTTCACGGCCTTCCGATTTTTAAGCGCGGCACATTTTCTGAAAGGAAATCGGTGGGATGGGAAACTTTAAGGCTTTGAGGTGGTCATTTTCTCAAGATTCTTCTGATAAAAATGTGAAAAACCAAAAAAAAAAAAAAAAACTGAGGAAAAACGGGAAAATTTACGAAATATACTTATAAAATATTGCGTTTTTTTTATTTTTTTATTTTGTGGACAACTTTTCTACCAGCAATTTTGTTCAGATTTACAATAATAGCACTTTTCCTAAACGAAAATCTGAGTGGGTATGAACATTAGGGAGGTAATTTTTCGCAGATTCTTCTAGTGAATCGAAATTTGTCTTATTATAAATTAAACAATGAATAATATATTCACCGTTCACTTTTTACGATAGCGTAAATAAATAAAAAAAAAAAAAACTTATGTTTATCAAACCTAGATACCACCCCATATATTTTATCCTGAAGGGGAAGCAGAATGGCTATTTCTTATGGACGAATATGATGTATTAGACTGCAGGGAAGCTAGACAAAAATATAAGGATTAGGTTTAATGGATTTTCGTTTTGAAAACAGATTTTGATTGATTATAATAAGTATAACAGATTCTGATAGAGGTGATTATATTTTTTTTTATTTATGTTCTTCGTTGTAACACAGAGCAATGGAATATCTATTTTGGAATAACTAAAGTCACCTGCTTCAAAACCTATACACCTCTTCAATCAATCAATTCAATTCCGTCAATTCCGTTTTAATATTAAAATTCGTCAAACCCAAACCTAGTATTGACTAGTTTTTCAATCCGAATACCATTTTTTTTTCTCTTTTTTTTTCAACGACTGTAATTTCCTACAAAAAAATATTCGCTTGTCTAAAATTAGGTAATATTTAAAAAGTTTTTATCTTTACCGTCCGTCGTCTATTTAGGGTGTTAACATATTATGTTTGACCCGCCGCCGTTTAGGTCTTTAGATTGTTCGACAAACTTCGAGATTATAAAAATACTACAATATTGTTTAAATTACCCTCGTAAAACCCTGAAAATTTATTTATTTAAAATTATTCGTGTTAATAAATACGACAGACAAATAAAAGTAACGCAATTATCTATTTGTTGGCAACACAGTGGCGCACTGTTAAGATGTTATCAATTAATGTAACCGTATGTGTACTCTCGAGGGAGACGAATGTAGATTGTATTGGTGTCGCAGGGAAAATGGAAAAAGGCTAAAAATTAAAATAACTAAAATGTGTGGTCGATGAGTGAATATACTTTTGTAAACCACGCGCCTTCTCAAAATTCCAGTAAATATATGAACTTGTGTGTTTTATAACAATTTGTAATGTAATGTCTGAAGTTCCCCTCCTGTAATAAATTTGACACCTACTTAATAAGAGGCCGTCACGAAAACGGCTTTGAAATCTGATTTTAGAAATGCGATGAGTTTAGACAGTAACGTGTTGATAAATTTGCCACCCGGGGGATCAAATATTTAGTTATATTGAGTTCGTCTCCTTGACTACTCTCCTGCTAAACCTTATTATATTTCCGAAAAAACAATTAATAATAATCATAAATCACATTGCTATACATATTCTAATTTTTGCCAAAAAACCATAAATTATTTCTTCAAGTATCGAGAATATTTTACGTACAATTCATTTAAAATTTGTTTTTTCGCATTTAAAGCTGCCAGTTCGTTAGTAATTATTCCGGTTCACGTTCCGTGATGATCAGTTGTCTATAGACGTAAAATCTGCATAAAAGCGTAAAATAAAATATGTATAAAATGTATAAATATTATATTTTAGTCATTCTTATAATTTCGTAAGCCGTAGAATTGTGCACGAAACACGCACCTTCAAAACTTTACCGGCCGAAAACATTCGACGCCCGGGACAACTGCCGCTTTTTAACCTTCCCCTCTTCACACGGAACCGGGTCGGGTGTAACGTATTATCGGTGCGTATCGGCGTCACGGGGAACCTTAAAAAGACAAAAAGAAAAAGGCGCGCGGTACTTTCGTGAAGCTCCGCACGCAAAAAAAATTCCTATATGCGCCGCCGATACATGGTTGTGCGCACGACCGTTATTCGACGACGTGAGTCAGATACGTAAAAAATAAAATCAATCGTTACACGTAAACCGCGAAAGACCGCAGTAGCCAATAATAATATGTCTTGTCGAGAACGCGCATAATATAAATACGAGGTGTAAAACTCGTTATGCCTTAAAAAGCGATCCGCCGCACAATAATCGTAAATATTGAAAATTCGCCGTAATAAAATGCACTCGGAGTCTAACACGCCGTGAATTCTCCGAGTGAGAGAACTATAATATTATGTTAAGTATATCCACGCCAGTAGAGCCGCCTATTTTGCAATAATTTATTGTTATTTTTTGTATCATTCTGACCGCCCCGCCCCGCCACACCAGTGCATAATTGTATTCCTTCAGAGATCGCGGGACAACGTAACGGGACAACCAGCGCCGTCGATAGGGTCGGGCATACTGGACATTTGTGCTCAGTCACGCGCTCCGTAAAAGGCCTCGTGCGCATTAAAAATGCTCATATTAGCCCTATCCGTACGCGGTAAAATTTTCAAATTGTTTTGACCGTTTTTGAGTTGACTATTTGGTTTTATTTTCCACCGAAATTTTTGAAGTATATTTATATTGTTATAATACAACAAGGTCTAACTACAAGTTCATGGATTAAAAATATTTTAACCTCCCCCCTCACCCGGAAAGTTTACCCCGAATACGTGTTCGGTTATGGTTTACAGACTCGAAAACTATAGTCGTTCGATTTCGCTGAAAGTTGCACAGTTTGTCCTCGTTGGTTTCAGATGGTTTTTAGTGAGCGGTGTCGGTTTAGATCGGAAATTTGACTGCTAAAATTGAGACTCAAACGAAAAAAATGTATACTAAAAAGTTTCGATAATTGCACTTTTTGTTCTCGTTTATTTCCAGTATCTGTTGGTAACACCTGGGCGGGGATAATATTTTTATGTTAATCAATTGTTTCCACTGGAAGGTACGGTTTTATTTCATTTTTAAAATTCGTTCTCGTTCAATACTGCGACACGGGCAAGGGCGGATCATGCAGATAGTATATTTTATGTCACACAATTTTCAGATCAGTTTAGTAACATAATCTCAAATTTCATAAGCGATGTTTCAATTTCTCGAAAAAGGGGAACATTTTATGAGGTCAATTTCCGCTCGCCCCTCGCTATACACAAGGCGAATTATTTTTAAACAAAAATTGTTGAAACCTGATGCAATTGCATACAATTTCTATAAAAAAAAAAAAAATTAAAAAAACGCCCGTTTCAAAATTAAGGAAACTGTTAAATATTTCGATATTTGATATTATATTTCATTCGCATTTTTACACTCCCGTCAGGCATCGTCGTACCGCGTTTATATTAAATAACTCGGTCGACCTTCCGCATTCACTTCGCGTAGTCCGATATAAGCTCTATACCCAACTTAATACTTTGAAGTTTAGGTCGACATAATATTATTAATATTCTACCCGAACCGCGATGATAAACTTCAGTTTAATTACCGTATTCCGAGGTCTAAATATTAATAAACCTACCTAATACTTCGGTTATACATTTATTACCAGAACCATTCGAGTAGATGAAGAAGATTAATTATATTATTCTCATTTTACCAACGCGCATCACGATTTTATCAAATTGAAACCAATACGATCCTTTTTTTTTACATATGTCGAGCTATCCCAGAATAAAGGGGTCCAGGGACGATCATAAATCCCAGTTTTTACAAACAATATATAAGTTCGTGGTTATTAACTATACATTTTATCATTAACTTAGTTTTTTTTTTTTTTTTTATATCTTTTCGCATTCAATAACTTTTCGTTGATGGCCTTTAGTGAAAATTATTAGATCTCTAAATTACATATTGTTTTAATTTTTCTAAAACTTATTACCAATAAATAGGTTCTATAAAATACAATTTTTATTTTTATTTTAATTCTTTCTAAGGGCTTCATTAAAAAGTTTGGCTGTAAATGTCTGGGCTTGATGTCGAGCAAAAACTATTTAAAATTAATATTCTGCTTTAAACCCACCGTAGAAGTTTCCAATCGCGCAATGGTTATCATTGTTTTAAAATAACCTTCTACTACAGTTACGATGTCAAAAACGATATTGTCTTTCATCTGTTAAAACAATGTTCAATTGTTTACAAGGCGCGTAAAACCGACGACGTTTCAACAAATTTGAAATACCGGATGACACATACTAATATTATAAGCAGCAGCTATACAAGGGCCGAAACGTTGCGGTTGTGTGGTAATTATTGGATTATAACGACCGCTATTGGTATTGCGCTGTTTTATGCGCCAAAATATATATAATTTAATGTCTATAATTATTTTGACCCGTATGGACGTATAGATATATTTACTATTACAGACAGTTTTATCCCTTCGATTCACGCGATAATCACATCAAATAATGTGTACGGACTCGATTGTAATTATGTTTTCCTCGTGAAAATTTAATACGTCGCAACGGCGGCGTATTAGTGATGTCCTCATCGAAAACAATCCTAAATGAAAAATAGTCTATATATATACACATACAAATCAATTATCTCGACTTGTGACTTTATCGTGGATCATATTTTCATTATCGTCTATGCACAGTGCACTCTAAAATATTTCAGATTCTGAATGGATGAACGAAGAAGGTTATGGTTTTACAAGGATGTTTATTTATTTATTTTTTTTAACGGACGACTTTTCTAATAAACATTTTGTTCCGATTTTTAAGTGTACCTTTTCTGAAAGGAAATCGATGTACAGGGGTACTTTAAAGTGGTCATTTTTCGATTTTCGATATGACATAAATATTGTTGACAAAGCATCTCTATCAACCGAACTGCTCTCAGAATCGTTTTTCGTTAGCAATAGCTTATTGTTGCTTACGGATATTCATTGAATTCCCTTCTGTATATTATCTTTCCAACTTTCCACCTACAACAGTGTCTGCACCCGTCCTCATTATCTTAGGACAAAATATATAAAAATATTTATTATGTTTTGCTTTTAGAACAGTTAGGTAGGGGCTGTGGAAATGAAAATAAAATTCATAAAAATAATCTATCTTTCTATCCATCTATCTGTCCTTCTACAATATTAATCCGGGCTTAAGGTTAGAGAGGATGAGGGATAGGATGACTGGAGTCTCCCTTTTTGTTTATGATTAATTTCTTAGTTATTCTCACTGAGGTATTTTTAATGAAACCTTAAAAATTCAAATTAGTTTTATTCAAAAACAATATTTACTGAGGAAGCATATAAGTGTGTATGTGTATGTAGGATAAATATTTAACTTATTATTTTTGGCGTGTTGGGGGGGGGTGCAGTTTACGTATAAACATTTGTATAAACAAACGTGTTGGAGAAAAGCATTTGGGAAGTTTTTAACCCATATAGGTTTCCTGGAAATTTGGTTGGATTTTCAGAAATACCCTTCAATGTTTAGTTAATATAGTCTCCCCTCGGAGTGTTTTTCACTTTAACCACTGGTATCAAGTAATTTGTCAAAACAACCCTTCGATAGCGGTACCTTCCGAATACGGGCGAATTAGTCGCCGTGATTACTTTACTACAAAAGATAGTCCCTCAACGAGGAGCGAGATCCCGTGGCTAAATTTTCATTTCGGCGGCGGGTTTCAATTTCATTATAGTATAACATTATGGCCTATTTAAAATAATTAAAATCGTTCATTATATTTGACATTTTTAAAATTTTTTTTTTCCCGTTATAATCAATCGCCGTGTTAATACGACGTATGATGCACGAATATCTTATTTTAATAACATGCGTTTACCCGCTATTATTTAGCAAACCGCTGTGCGAAATACTTGCGCAGGTCAGCTATGGTGTAATAATAATATTATAATAACAGACATCACATTATAGTAATACCGATACGAGGTTATATTTACACAGTTAGGACAAATGATTAAATTTCACATATCAACGCAATTGTATATTTAATTATGTCTTCTCTGTTATGGTGCGCTCTACCTATCTTCTATTTCTAACGATATATATAATATGCACATATTATTCGTAACTATACGTTCATTATATTATAATAGCTGTATAAATACTATCGATTGTGAAATCGATAGTAATTTATCAGGCACGAACTTATAAATACAAACGTTTCATTTTTTCACATAAGTATACATAAGTATAGAATATTCAAATAAAAACATTTTGTCGGGCACAATACGGACTATATATGGCGTATTTTAAGTCTGATAAGTAAGTGTAACACGAGTTTCGTGATATATTATAAGATAAGACGATTCCGAGTCACGAGTAACTAAAATATTATTATAATATCGTTGCAATAGATATAGGTGGTGCATAATATAGCCTAGATGGGTGTATTCAATTTTTTTTTTTTTAATAAACCTTTACTTTGTAGGAACTATAATTTTATAGTAATACCAAGTTCGAGTTCTAATACACGTCGTTACGGATTTGATTGAAAATCGTAGACATTAAAGTGATTTAGACTCGATTTATGGTTTAGTAATTCATATACTTAGCGTGCATATTACCAATAATTTTAAATAATTTTGTACACATCGAATAATGTAACAAATTATTTGCAGGAATTGCCTGTTGGACAATTCCTCATCAAAAATGAATATTCGAGATTTTATAAATTATACGTGTTACGTTTTTCTTGGATTACTTTACTTATCTATATTTTGTAAGTATATAATTTTAATAAAATAATAGTTATTTATACTATCATAGTCCACTTTTATACACTATACCTACTAAAGAAGGGTTGAATGGAAGGTTAGGGGATTTATCTCTAGTTCTGGAGCATTTGTATAGTTGCCAACATTTGCGTAGATATACCGTATACCGTCTATTATTATGATAATAATATTAGACCCATAGATACAATTAAATAATTTGAAACTGAACAGGTTTATTAAAATGGTTTTGGCGTTCAAAAAACGATTATGAGTGTAAAGGGTTTATTAGAATGTCGATATTTAAAAATAATCTTCTAATCCTGAAATTATAGAAATATACGAGAAATTTTTTCTAGTATACTTATTTTAGAATATTAAATGCACAATCGATTTAAACAAAAACTGAATATTATTATTATTATAATATGTTTACCGTAATAATAATATGATATTGTCGTATTGGAAAAACGCTTTTGATGAGACGAAGAAAAAACAAAAATTGTGATTACACAAATTACAATTACTATTGGTACACCCATCACACCTATCAGCTATATATACTAAACGGACAATAATCGGCCGTTTTAGATATTAGTTACGAAAAAACCGTACAGCTACAGAACGATTCGGTCTTAAACTTCAAAACGAAAACAATTTATGGCCTCCACGCGAGTTATCTGTGTGAGGTCCGGTTATCTGCAACACGACGACGTCAATTAAATATAAAAATTAAATATAAAAAAAAAAAAAGTATACATACATGTTATGTAATAAACATAAACGGTAAATCGGTTTTTATGCCACGTTCTTCAACGATAAAACAAATAATATTCAATTATAATTAAAATATTATTTCAATTAATATTTTAATAAATCGCGTTCGATACCGCGAATACGAATGGTCTACTGCGAAATCACTTTAACGGTTTTGACGGTTGGCAAAATAATTTTAAAAAAAGGTTTATTTACCGCGATATAAAAGTACAAAATTATTAATTTCGTCTAAAACTGACTTAAATCGTCTTTTAAAACACACGTCTCGAATAAAGTAGGTACGAAAAAAAAAACCACTAACTAAACTACCTGCTTTTATAAATCGGGATGCACTGCGTCAAACGTTCCAGAAAAAAAAAAGTCATCGAACATTCCTTTACAATCCATTTGACCCTTTGATTTAATTATTTTTATTCAGACGGAGAGCGAAGGAAACCTCACTTCTAATTTAACTATTAAGGACGTCACGTGTACAAATATTATTATGTAGCATTTTAACCACGGTAATGCAATTCGATTTAAAATGTGGCGTACCCTATGCAGAACATGGCCCGTTTTCATCAAAACCTAATTTGTAAAGAGACGTTTTCGTCAAATATTGTTTGGGAATCGTGTACCTAAATTACAGTGGCGGATTTACAGGGGAAAGGGATGGTGGATTCCCCAGACACCGATATAATTTCAATAAAATATCGTCCAAAAAAGAGGCATCTATTAATAGAAAAACCTTTTAAAAACATATGATTTTTTAGGCCCCTTCTCAGAAAAATATTGAAAATTCGCTACTTCTAAAATTTTATAGTAATATTATAGTATAATTCGTTACAGTCAATAAGTCAATAATAAAACAATTAAATTCGTTTTTTTAAAAAAATCGTATAATACCTATCCATTATATGTAAATATTTCAAAAGATCATAGAAAAATATAATACCTAATACCATACTAATAATAATAAATCGCTAACAATAATATAAGCCGTTATAGTCGACAAGTTTTCATTTTTTATATTCAGAGTGGAGCGTAGAAGCTTATAGTTTTACAAAGATGTACATTTTTTTTTTTTATAACATTTATATAACAATATTTAGCATAAAAATACAAATAGTAAGGTACGCGGGGGCGGAGTGCTTATTGCTGTCAAAAAATCACTCAGTACAATAATCTGGTATGTCTGTACACTACTTTTCCTCCAGAAATCTTGCTCTGATCGAAAAATGAGAAAATAATTTTTGTGTAGCGTTTTGGATTTAGCCCCCGAGTAAGAAATCTTTTTTTTTGATTTTTCGTATAGTCTTCTGATAATAATTTGATAAAACCGGGAAACGTATTATGGGAAAAAACGAAATTAACGGTTTCATTATTTCCGTACACATTATATATTTAAATGTGCGTGTTATTCGATTGTACGCAACTCGGAATCTGTTTTCGTTAACGACGGTTTTTCGTGTACCAAACGTCTTTGTCGGGAAACTTTACGAACAGTATACGTACAGTGTATACACACGGAAAATAACATTATCCGCAATTCGCAAACGCGCTGTCCACGTCACATTTATGTAACTATACACAATATACGTATGTATACATAATTTTGATAACTGGTCAACTCGGATGTAGGTGTTGGCCGTTGCCTATACCACAATAAATATTATAAAATATATAGTTTATAACACGGTTTTTTTAAAATTTTTATTCGTCTCGCGCGTATACGATAGGTGGTAATAATAGGTAATAATAGTAATACCATTACACCTGCGACTGCGACTGAATTCATAAACGTGACCGTGTAATAAAATGCGTTTTCATAAGTGTATATAGGTATGCACCTATAATATTATTCCATTGCGTTAGGACAGGTATTCGCCGAGATTATTTCACAGGATTTATTACACGCGTTACGACTGCAGTATTCTAATATTATATCAATAATCGCGAGTTTTAATCGCAGAACAATCGGAAATCGTAGCCGTTATTATGATATCATTGCGTATACGCGTGCCTATATATATATATAGGTGGATACTTACCGGTCAAATTTAATAGAATGAGTCGAACAGAAAATGTGATCGTATTGTATTAATCGTCGTTCTATTATTACATTGTCGTGTATTCACCGTAAGAATATGAAATAATTAACGGCTACACTATTAATCCGTACTTAATAATTAGTAATTGTCAGGATTTTCTAACGATCGGATGTAATTAAAAAAATACTATTACAAAAAACGTATTATATTTATTGTTTTTGTAGAATTCAGTTGATTTGCCCGTATCCTTGTACCGCCTACACGCAGGCAGGTTAGGATAGGTACACTTTTTTGTTTACCCTTCGGAGTGATAAATTTATTCCCAAATGCGAATTCCAAATTTATTTACGATTATCAAAATCGAATGGTCGTTCATTTCTTCTATTTTTCTTCTCCTTCGTCTTCATCCCAGCTATTCGGTGTTGGAAAAAAAAGTCGAGCATTATGTAGTATTTTTTTTTTTTATAAAGGAATTTTAAATGCAAATTTTGACAAAAATCGTTTGAGTAAAAAATTATGTGCAACAGATCTGGCTAGTGGTCTATCCAAATTTTTCAATTTTTTTTTTTGTTTTGAACAAATGAATATTGCAAATTTAAGATTGATGGAACTTCAAAATTGAGCGCACTGTCTTAGTTTCAGAATTATAGCTTTTTGATGTTTTGATATTATGTGGTTATTATATGTTAAATAACACAATATTGTCAATATTATAGTATGTCTGTCGTAGTATAGTGGTGGTATGTGCTTGTTGTCAACCCAGAGGTCGCGAGTTTAAACCCAATTTCGAATTTTTTTTTTTTTTAACTACGACGGGAAGTTAACGGGAAAAAACAAATTCATTTTTTTTCCAAAAATAAAATCGAGTGTAACGTATTTTTTTTTTTATGAGTTTTAAAATCAAATGTTTGACGAAAATCCTAATTATTACGGCCATTCAATAATTGTTTAAGCGAACTTCGCTCCGAATCGTTTTTCGTTATCAAATGTTTATCATTGGTAACAGGTGTAAATTAAATAATTGTATGCATCCCATTTTCCTCGTTACCTACCTACAACAACAGTAGGCGCATCCGTCCCCAGTTTCATAGGAAATATTTTTATTTTTTTTTTTAACACATTTTTCGAATTTAAAACAATAATATCGACTTCTCATAATACCTACGTGTCATTACGCGTAATAATGTTACGTTGTATAAATGTCAAGTGTGCCGTTGAATTCCGTTTTCAAATTATGAATATTCTACAGGTCGCGTCGAAAGATGCGGTAGACACGAGTCATTTTAAAACGTAATTACACGATAGCAATGGAACCGATGACTATAGTTCGCGAATAAATCGAAAACGATTATTATCACGCATACCTAAACACGACGAGCTTAACAATTATTTCGATTTTCACGTGTGTGTGTTTAAATTACGAAAACACAAATTTGACTGGAAATCCGTTTGCCGATTATAGTATTACACCGTTGCACACTTGACGGTTCATCGGAACCCGTGTACACGGCACTGACCATCACTCAGACTGCCTCTCAAAACGCGTTTGCACAATATCGAATGCACCTAAATTGTATAGTTATGTTATAGATTTATTGTAATTTGTGTATACGAGTTTAATCCGAAAACGAGAATTCGCAATTGATCACGTTTAGTAGTCGGTGCCGATAACAATAAATACTTCATTATTACAATAGAAATCTTTAATTATTTTTGGAACCTCGTCGAACCTATTATAAAAAAAATTCAAAAAATGATGCCAATATTCGGTAAATATATATGCATTGGACAAATTGTGTTTTACAGTTTACGTCACGGTTATTCGTCGATTCGTTTCTACGCATATTTTTGTACGCATCTTGTTCGTATCGTTGAATAATAATTTCCAGATATTTAAAATATTGTCCGTCCGCTCATAAGAATATGTTTTTACATTTAGGCCCGAAAATGTTATACTTCGTGATGATTTTAATATAAAACTTCAGTAACAGAATATGCGAGTAGTAAATTATTAATTGCAAAAAACATATAATATTATTGAAATTTAGTCGAAATTATTGTTCATATACAGTGTACGTGTTACGCTTAAAAAAAAAAAAAAAAAAAAAATCGTGTTACCTATTGTCTTCGTCGTTCACACTATAATATTATTATTATACTTGAACTGTTCTGTCATTCAAAATAATATACAGGTTTGAAAATTTAAAAAATCGCATTGTCACCGCTTTCCGAACACAAAACATATACCTGTATAGTACGCGACTATAATGTACCTACCTGCGACCTGCCTGTTTATGAATCAATATTGTAATTTACTGAATTATGCAATTATAATTTTTTTACATTTACAAACCGTTGTGGTGCGCATCATATCTAATATAGCAATGCCAACAACACAATCTAGGGAAAATACCTTCGTGCGATGAATTTCACGTGGCTATACTTCAGCGGCCAATGTAAAGTTTTTATGTTACAGACAAAACTGTCGTGTAAATTAATTCTTTTATAATACCTAATGCGGCAACTATAAGCTCGAGTAACAAACTAATTGATTTTCTACATATATTATCGCGGTTAGAAATGTTACTTAAGAATTAAACATCGGTTCGTTCAAATTTTACAGTTTGATAAATATTATATAATCATACTATTTATACGTATTACGTACGTAATTATTCGTTGTTATTACACGTGTAGTATTTTTTTTTCCCCGTAGTAATCTCTGGGGTTTTATTAAATCCAGTTATTAAATTTAAAAACGCCATAAATGAAAAACTGACGAATTTACCGTTTTAAAAATTTCATTATTTTATATTTTTTAAATTTTTGTGTTTTCTCCCGGATATTTTCCACCGAAATTGAAACGTTTCATTTCTTTTGAAAAAAAAAAATCGCGTTTAACCAGCGATATATGCATATAAATTTTCCGCCAAGTTTCCTTGGCAATTCGACTCGTTATTTATTTGAAAAGTTATGTTTTCATAATACGTTAACGTCGCGGTTAAACGTATTTTCGGACGGTATAAAAGTTTAATACTGCAGCTTACCGTGACTAACATTTAGTTTCTCAGCGTAAAAATCGCGTTCGTCCGGTCCGTACACCGGTACACCTATTTTAAACTTTATTAAAATCGCTTTCCGGACACGTTTACGAGCGCGATACAGAGACGTATTTATAAAATACCTAGGTCGTAGGTCGTAGGTTAGGTTTAGGGGATTAGGATTATAAAAACAATATTATACACTGCAGACGGGTTTATCGTGCGCGCATTGCGGTCAATAACGTTTACACTGCTCGAGTGTTGTTCCCTGCGAAAAATTTATTATATTACCGCAGTTTCTACCGTAATTGTATTGTTATACTATTATTTTTACGCGTGTTGGGTCGGATTAGTTTTATTTTACGTGCCGGAATTACGGTTTTGCCGGACATTCGGGTTGTCACAGCGGTGTTTTGTCTTTTTTTTTTTTTTAACGAGCAATATACAGCAGAAAATCACGTAACCAAGCGAAAAGATCTTTAAAATCGGTTTTAACGCTAAAACGCCCGTTATAAAAATCCGCATAGACGACGAAACATTTTGAAGAAAATCTCTTTAACGTTTTTACATTATTCTCTAAATACTCAAAGGCACTTAAAATCGTTTTTGACGTTGGTTTTTTTTTTTTATTGAAGAACTAACTTTTTTTAATAATTCGTTTTTTAAGAACGATTTAAAGAGATATCTCGTGTCTAAAACCTAGTCGGTTCCAGCGTACTTATAGGAGTAGACCCTGAAAAATCGCATAAAATACAGTTTTTACCGCGTGGCGACTCAAAATATAATATATCGAATCAATTCGTAATAAAATGCACAGTTTGGTTGAAAAATAAAATTGTTCATCATTTTCGAATCATTTGGAGTTTGATAACGTTTTTGTATAATCGGTATTTACACTGTCAAAATTTTCGCATTTTTTTCCTCGCTCCTTTCCCGCCGGACCTTATACTCGTATATAGAAGTATATTCGCCAAAAATTTGCTAGTAAGTTGGTCGAAAATGAATTTTTCGATCGAGAATTTCGCAAATATATCGTTATAATATTATATAGTGCGCACTATGTGCGAACAAGCGAAAAACTCGTTAAAAAAAAAAAAAAATTGAGGCGGCCAAAAGGGCTTAGGGTCTTTTAGTTTGTGTTTTTGTGGACACGTTTTTGCTACACATTGTCCGCGAGAAAAACAGAGTCGGCATGCGATTATAATATGACGTTGTGTGACGCGAATGCTGGACTACGGATTATTGAGACGTCACGTATACGTAGGCCCTTGTGAATAATTCACTCGTAATTAAATGCAAATCATTTTCATCATACACAAGTGCATGTTATGTACGCTTAACGTCACTATAACTAAACGCATTATTATAATGCTGTTCGTTTTCTAATTTAAAACTGAAATATTGTTTTCGACGCGCTGATGTAATTCCGTATTATTACACTCTTGTTTATGTGTCCGATAACACATTTTTTCATATTTTTTCTGATCGCACCGATAACAGACCGCGTAAACCATGATACGAACATATTTTATTGTATAATATTTTACAAACCTGAATAAGTATTTTAATATTGAACGGTTTTTTTTAAATTTTTTTAATATCTAACATAAACTCATAATTCGTTTAAAGTTACTCCGGAATTAAAAAAAAATACCCGAGTGATGAAATATTATAGATATGTTTAATTCAATATACAGGTGCTTACTAGCCGTAAACGTTTCCAATCGGTTTCTCGGCTAATATAAATCGATTATAATACATCATATAGGTTATTATGTAGGGTATCGCAAGACTAACTGCGCTAATGTGCAGTTCTACACAAAATTCGAATGTCGAAAGGAATTATACTGTGCAGATCTTAAGAAAAAAAAGAAAGAAAAACAATTTACGAATTATCGGTATATTATCTTCGGTGTCGATATAGTCGCAGAGAAATCAGGCTAAAAAGCATTTAAAAGTACCTATTCCTAATAACGCTATCGCCGTACCACGTTTTCTTGAAACTCCATATAAAAATAACCGATTTAAAAACGGCGTACATGTCCGGAGCCATTTGAAATTTTTTCAAAATTAAATTTTGTTCGACAATATAACAAAACTTCGTTCATAAATCTCTCACTGAGTCTGTTTTCCAGCTATACACAGCTGAAAACTGACGATGTGCACATCTAGCATTTTCTTAGCGCAGACTCGGCGCGCCGGTCCGCATGGTACCGTCCGTAATATCAAATGCAAGACGCGCGCGAAATTAAAATTTAAGATTAGGTTACGCGAGAGCGTCGGAGTTAGACATTTTCTTCCGTTGAAATGAAAAACACGTCCTGTGCTACTGCCGCAGTCATGTTGTTGTGCGTATTTTTGTTTTGAACCGGTTTTAATTTATTCCGCTCGGCTATCAAGGTAGTTCACTTTTTGTTTTAATATCAATTGATAATAATAACAGGTACATAGGTGTGTGTTTCAAAATACCCCGAAACTCGCGCAGCATTTAGGGCATGTTAAAATGTTGAATTCGTGTAGCCCGTAGGTGTACTCCACTATACCAATTTGGATAGATACAGGCAATAGGCATTTATCAAGTAAACGATTTTCGGACTTTAAGCCTATTACTAGGGTTCGGATGCTCGTGCACTTAAAATATGTAACTGTAATATTAATATATATGCATTATGCACTAAAAAATTATCCAATATGTTATATATAATATACAATTACCGAAAATCATAAAACATGCATTTTCAGTTTAAAAAATAAAACGTCGAAACATGTACAGAAAAATATATTCTACCTCGAGTATTTAATTTTTATTAGTATTTTTTCAATATTTCATATTTATTTACAACCGAAGCGTTACAATGTGATACAATGGTTTTTATAATTTGTTCAAGTTTCGTGCTTTTTTACCTTTAAAGGCCGTTATTGATTGAAATCGTTTTCAAAAACGTTCGGAAATACGCATTTATATTTATGAAACCCCAAAGTGTGCATTTAAAATACACAACCGCGATACGTGCAAATTAAAATTAGTATGATTTGATTCGGTAGAACGTGAATTCTGATCGAGAAAGAATTAAGAAAAAAAAAAAAAAAAAAACGAAAAACGAACGCTATATTAAACTACTGTACCACTGTGCATTGCATAATAACCGTTTTGTTGGTTGGGTCATGAATGAGGTTAATTGTGGATGCTGGATAGGCACGGCCAACGCGCGCTGCTGTTTTTAAAGACCGCTCGCGGTATACCTGTAATACTGCATTTATATACTACCTATATATTGTACGTGTACATTATTATCATTGTCAATATTATTGCGACGTGACTTGTGTGCGTGCGCTTGTTTGTACCTAACTATACGTACAGAAGTACCTGAAACCAGAGAGAGGTAACTCGGGCAACCGGTTTTTATCGGCAAATAGAAAATATAAATTTCTAAAAAAAAAAAAAAAAAAAAAAAACAAAAACCATTATTTTACCAACGACCGTTCTATCTTATCGGTCTTAAATAATATTTTTGCGCGGATAAAACACGAATGAAAACTGACACCGCGCGTGATTTGCTATCTATACCGGGTCGCTATATAATACAATATTAATTCGTTATAACTGCGATTCCAAAACGAATATTGTTCCGTTACGATCATAACAATATTGCTAGGCGTAATATTTTATACCTGTTCGTTTATTTTCCGGTGGAAAAGCCTTTAGATTTCGGGTGTACGATAAAGAAATATCTCTTGGCATTTTACGGTCGGAGCAAGATTTTCGTTGTAGAAGTGTTGTAAACGGACAAAACAAAAACTTAGTAATTTAGAATCTAAAAATAGTTTTTACATTACACAACTTATCGTTCCGATTGATTAGATAGAAATTCTGGAAGGTAGGACAGTATCACTATAATATTGAAAAAATAACCCCGAACAGTTCACGTATACCATAATTTTGTATTACATAATAATATAATAATATAATGTTAATTTGGGATAGTAATTTTGTATAAAATCCGAAGTGTATTTTCTCGGTTACTTCCGTAGCCTGGTCATTTACGTCAAATTTGGTTTTTGTCCATTTATATATTTTTATATTCCGAGTCCAGCGAGGGAGTTAATGGTTTTACTGAGATGATTTTTTCTTCTTCTTTTAGCCCGTGGACACGTTTTTTCCTATTAAACTTGCTCCAATTTGTACGTGTATCAACTTTTCTGAAATCTCAAGTTTCCGTTAATGTACTACAGAGATTATTTTTTAATTTTTTAAACAAAAGCACTTAAGTGAGAAAACGTACAATTTCACGATTTCAGTATTTTATAAAAACACGGACGACGTTTTCTATCAGAAAAAAATGATTTAATTGAAAACCTTTAATTGATTGACATCAATTTTGTTACCTTTTTGATTTAATTTCTAACGGTATCATTACCAATACTTTTAAGCATTTTTTGAGTATTAAAGGAGTTTTAACTTTTTGTAGTTTTTTTACTGTAATTCGGTTATAAATACACGTAGAGACTTGAAACTTGGTAATAATACTGAAATCGGACTTGCCCAGACGTGGTAAAATTTTCAAAATCATCGGAAGACATTTTTTTTTAATAAACGTTTTGAAATCAAACTTAATCGAAAATCGCAAATAAAATTACGGCACTTCAAATTATGTATTACCAAACTGCGCTGGGAATCGTCTTTCGTCAAGCAATGGTTTATCGTTTTATTAATTTGGTCGTCCTTTCGACTTAATTCGTTATTTTTATGAATGGGTTGATAAATTTTCAAATTCGTTTTTTTTTTGATATGAATAAGTCATAAGTAAGCGCATTGTCCGAAAAGTTATGATATGTTAATTCGCCTCATTTAAAACATTATCGATTAATTAATATATTCAAATATTATAATCGTCTTTAATACTCATGCAGTAGTATTGCCGAAAATATCGGATGAGTAAGGTGGGCAAATGCCACAGACCCACAATAATTGAATTTAATTTTCAATTTAAAATTTAAAACAATAATTGAAGGCCCTAACAGTGACCTAAACCAGGAAATTTTTTGACAGGTTAGCGTATGTGCATGTGTATCACTGATTTGATAACTATGTGTAATGCAATTTGGTTTTCAATGTTTTAATTGTTTAATAAGTTTGTTGTTCTGGTTTAATCGATACTATTTTTAAATATTTCCACACGATGTTTTAACACGATTTCACAATTTATTCGAGGTTATTCGCATAAAAAAAAAAGAAAAAAAAAAGAAATACAAATAACAATTACAAAATAAAACGACTGTCCTATACTTACCTTTCGTGTGTAATTTGCCGTCAATCAATAGGTGCTGAGGATGAAATAACCATTAGAGTATTTTTATTTCGCCGGGTGTTTCGCGAGTCGAACAAAATATTACCCATCTCTGTAACGCAGATAGAAATTATATTATCTCGTTTCGAAAATTGGACGCGATTCTCACTTTAGACAAAATATAATGTTTTGTAGGCGGAAGCACTAACTAGAAGACCGTAAAAGAACGTTTATTAATCAACTTCTCGGTATTTTTTTTTTTTTTACGAAATTGGTAATCCGTCTGTTATATATTATATAATAAAGTCGGTAGATGAAATTTTTTATCCATGACCCCGTCTTTTCGGTTACGAGGGGATACGTATCGTTGTAAAACTAATTTGCTGTATTAATACCGCGAACAAACATCCGAGGAAACGTATACTTGCTTACAAAACTTTTATATAAAAACAGAAAAAAAAAAAAAACAAAACAAAAAACAAAATAATACGAAGATTACTCGAACGAAAAGAAAAAAAAAACCACTAATTTCTACACGGCAAAAATATAATTAAAGACGACTTTCGTATTCCGCACGTATATTATATTTTTCGGCGCTGTTTATTAAATCTTCCCTCCACACTTACACCGGAGGATCTCATAAAACGCGAGCGTGTGTACACACGTGACTTAAATACCAAACGGAAAACGTTTCGCGTGCACGTGCGGTGTGGGTTCGCCGCACTATTATTATATTGTATTGGATTTCCCACGTGTAGACGCGGGTAGTTTGTGAAAATTGAAAGCCACGCGAAACTAATCAAAAAATTTATCGTCCCGAATTACGGACGCGGTTTCGTATACGCGCGGTCGGTGAGTTTTCGCGAGCCGCTTTATCGCGAGCCGCTTTATCGCGCGCCGACAAGCCGCGAACACGTCCGCGCGAACTTACACGCTTACGCGATATTAATAAAAACGCCGATCTCCTTATACCTGCGCGATAAAAGTATACGACGGCACCGCCTGCGAATTCCCGTTCCCGCGCCGCTGACAATCTCCGATTCCTCGCAATAAGATTTATCGTTTTGCGCCTGCCGTCGTCCGCGTGTACATAATACGATGTTTTATCATCACCGCCGCAGCAGTAACCGGCCGCGATCCCCGGCGTTTCGACCGACGCAAAAATGAAATCCGCCGCGTTCCGCTCGCCTGGTACAGTCACCAACACCCGCGGGGCAGTGGCGCAATGACGCGGAGGGGGCGAATCGGCGACCGATCCATCAGCGGTGATGTTGCACTTAAATGTCGTCTTAACGCCGTTTCCGTTTTAACCTCCGCGGTGATTAATCGTCCGGGATATGGGATGAAGCGAGGTTGGGTTATTGAGCAGTGCCGTTCGGAGCTAAATTTTCTATGGAGTTTTGGGTAAGGCCGGTTTCGGCGGTCCGGCCAACATAATTGATTTGATAGCCGGAGTGAAGAAGTCCGTTAGTTTACATGCCGGTTTTAAGTTGCCGTTGTCAACTACTGTCACCGGTGACCGGTGAAATTGATATACGAGATGTGTTATAGACGCCGACCGCCCAAACCCTTTTTTCGTTGACGCCTCAATAGTCTGCCAACTGCATACACGTCCGTTTGGATTGTAAAATTTTGAAATATGATTCACGCGTTTTACAATAATTTATGAACAGTTTAGCGTAATTAGCGATCGGTGATTAAATGTAATTTAAAGAAAAGACAATCAAACGCCATCCATTATTTTTTCCCGAACAAACGGTTTTCCCATACGTATACGCGATATAAAAACAAAACGCCGTGGCTTAAGACTTTTAGCACGGAGCTAAAAATAATGGAGCTTTTCGTAATTATTCTTGTATATCGCCTACGGGCGCGAGGGAGTGGTGTGTGTGGAACAGCTTGATTTTGGAAATTGCGTTCCGGGCGGTGTTCCGAAACAGGACCCGACGGAGGAAAGACATTGTCGAGAATGGCCGCGGACGAGACGGAAAGGGAAAGTAGAAAAAAAAGTGTCCGGGGTTGGGGGGGGGAGGGGAGCTTTGGGAATCGGACCGGGGACCGAAACAATTTCGGGCGACGGATAGAGAGATATGGCCGGGGGATGATCGCACGGTCGTGCGAGATGACGGGACGATCATGCCGAGGGCGAATAAACCCGAACAAAAAATATTATGGACAACCGTAATAATGTCTGGTCGATATTTCGACACCGTTGTTCGTTTGACGCTCCCCGCGACAATGCCAAAAGGCGCGCGCCCGCGCGGCGACAGTAATTTGTCCCCGGCGAAACGGTATGAAATCCACCGTGCACGTGTTGCAAAATATTATTATCGTTTTTCACGGGCGGGGGGCGACGCAAAGTAGCGTAATATTAAAACGCGAAAAAAAATAAAATAAAAAAAAAACGCGACCGCGCCGCACGAAAAATCCATACGGCGTAATATTTGCGGGTTCAATTACGTCCGTTTAATCCCATCAGCGTACACCCCGCGCAGACGACGTCCGACGGCGGCATCGCGTTGTTGTTGACCGTTTCCGTATAATATCACGTCGCGGTGACGCGTTTTTTCGCGCGCGACCGACCGAATAACCACGTCCGCGTTCGAAAACAAAAAAAACATTTTAACCCTCGTCGTATTGTCTCCGGACTCGAAACGCCGCGGTATTGTTTTCGTCGAGAACATAAAAAAAAAAAAAAATTAAAAATAACGCCACTATAATAATACAATAATCCCCGACGGGCGCACCTACGCACGCCGTTCGCGCGTTATCGTACGTTTCGCGCGGAACGCCACTGCGCGATTATACTAATATAACACGTGCGACAACAACAACAACAACAACAACAACAACAGCAACAACAATTGTTGTTATTCGGTTCGTTTGTTTCGCCGCGGTTCTCTCTCACTCTCTCTCTCTCTCTATGTTCGATAAACGTCCGTCCTACTCGTCTTGCGCGCGCCGATTCCGCGGACAGTAAAAATAATGTTGTGGTTCCGGTCGTTTTCCGTTAATCGTTTAATCTCGCCGCGTCCCGTAACCGCAACACTACGCAGTCCGGTAATCCCGTTTAGATTTCTCGCGGTTTCGCGTTCCGTTCGGTTTCGCGCGCGTTTTGCGCGTTGTTTTTGTTGTTTTTTTTTTTTGTTTTTTTTTTTCTCTCCACATCCCCCGTGATCCGCGGGAGATGTCCGCGCGCGGACCCTTCTCGTTGTTTTCGATTCAATACCGACCCCGACGTTATTGTACATTTTACGGCGCGACGCGGTTTTCGTCGTGCGGTAAAATGCAATATTAATAATAATATCGTAATGCAATATTACGCGCGTTAAATTCCAGTATTTTTTTTTTTTTTTCTTCGAGCGCGCGCCTCGTCTTTCGACATTTTCAAAATTACCGCGCGAATCGGGAACACACAACACAATTGTAGGCTAATTGCGTATAAAATGATTATTGTCAGTTATCACGGTGAATTTAGGGCGGCAAACGTAACAAAAAAACGCACGAAAAAAACCCCCGGCCGCGGTGCTCGACTATCGTCGACATAATATGAAACGCGAGAAAAAAAAAATTCGACTGTCCGCCGCGGTTTTATAAAACACAGTACCTATGACCGTTCAATAAATCCAAAACACCGCGATATCGAACCCGGCGCGGTTATTTGAAATACAGTGTTAAATTTTGGCCGGACGAACTCTAATGGAATTTTTCCATTCGTGTCCCGCTCGCCAAAAAAAAAACACATCGTATTATCATTCTATCTCTTAGTTGAGGTGCCGCCGGTCGTCCAATACGGAATTCGTGCCGTTTTTTTAACCAAGTTTAAAAACAATATACATACGTTTACGATATGCCGTTGTGAAATTCGGAACAAAAATTATTCGTTGTTTTTAGTAGTCCCGTGTTTTGAGGTTTTTTTTTTTTTAAATCTGGCGACCCTATAGTGTTAGTGTGATATGTTGTTTTTTTTTTCATATATATGCATATACGTTTCTGTAGAAAATATTCGCCGCGGTGTCGTAATACACATACGGGCCGTACGATTTGAAAACTATACATACACACGAACGTATACCGATTATGTTATTTTATTGGCCTATTACGTCAAAAATATAATAATACGTTTGCGAGTCCGCGACAATGTGTTTCGAAACAACGGTATCGGCACTTTTATTTGAAACAAATCGATTTGTAAACGTCGAAATTGCACGTTCTCAAATCGTATTTTCTATATAGGTATACAGTACGACGTATATCGGGGTCCCGGGTGTTAGCAGTTAGCCTGTAGGTATATCACAGTTCTACATTTCCACCGTAAATATACCGAGTCGACGATTTTCGCTGCTATATAGAATATCACGCGCACACTATGATGATAATATAATGTTAGTCGGTCGGCGAATGCGAAAAACGGCGACGACGGCTGTTCGTTTTCATCCGGAAAGGGGGAAGAAAAATAAAGAAAACTCGTAAAATTCGCCAACTATTATTACCGTTACCTGCGGGTATGAAAAGGTTCTGTAATCGTGTCTTTTTGAGAAAAACGTCCCCTTTTAATCGATCGTTACGATTTTTTTTTTTTATATATACAAAGAAAAATTTTCTTTTATAAAACACAAATGTTTTTCAAGTGAACGTTAAAAGTTATTTGAACGAGAAAAAGTTCTATCTAATGATACTATTCATTTATTTTGAAAATGAAAAGGTTCTATATTGACCTTTGTGTGCTGCGATGAAATTACTGATAAAATAATACAAACAAAGCGCCACAAAAAGGTTCTACATAAAAAACAGTAATTTTAAACATTTTCCATTTCTTTACAGTGCGCCGCTTACTTTCAAAAGATTATAAGAAAACCTTTTCAAAGTACGAAATTATTTTCTTTTATTTACTTTTATTATCTTTATTGACATAAAACTATCGGTTTGATCTGTTTGTCATAGAAAATATATATATTTAAGTTAAATAGCAAAACATAAACGAAACTGTGCCCCTATGAGATTTTAAATTCAATAATAGCATTCGGTATCAAAATGTAAATTCTAAAGTTTTAAACTGCTCTTCTTGGTCGATTTAAAAAAAATGACCCAGAACCTTTTCATTCTCAGGTGAGGCAATTTCTACGCGTGAGTTTTATGACGGACCAAAATGTCGATCGATTTTTAGACACTATATTACGAAAACCGTCTATTAGGATTGCTATTTTAATCCACAAAAAATAAAAACAAAAATCATTAGATAATTTCACATACAATTTTTTTTGAAAAATAAGTTTAAACAAACACTAAATTATATCTGCTGCATTAAATTTTGATGATACAAAATATTGTTTTCTCTTTGCGGCAACTAATTTTTAATAAAAAAAAAAATTTTAAGTTTCACAAAAATACTTTAAAATGTAAAATTTGTCAAAAACATAAATAATAATAATTTCGAAAACTCAGTACATATTGTCTTAAACACAATAGTTCGATCATAATCAAACATCTACATCAAAACTACAATCTTGTTAAACAGCGATTTTATCGTATTTATTACATATTATAACGTCATAGTATCATACTGCAGATAATATCACACTTTTTTCAGTCAATACGCCCGCTCGGTAATCAAATTATTAATACACTTGAAAAAATCGCCACAGTATTTTTAATACAGACGCGTTAAAAACATTGAACGAGTGCACTCACGCAAACATAGTCAATATCATAAAAAATCATAATCTCTATATTAACTGTAAAAATTATGATGACATAGGAGACGGCCACCAATATGCGTATTTATACGGGTACGCTACGCTTAGTATAATATCTATTGATTAAAGTAATAAATTATAACACCTAAGAAAAGAAAAGTCAGGTATTTTATAAAAAAAATGCCTGTATTGTAGAGGGTACAAACTAATTATTTTACTGCCATGGTACAGCACTCTTAAGGGTCCTGCTTAAAAATCGCTCTCAACACTTTTTTTAAAGTTAACAATTAAACAATTCTTAACGACCACCTCAATTGGTTTCAATTTTAGTACTATGGAGTGACGGTGGACGAATTGAATTTTCAAACTTGGTTTGGTGACAAGACTGTTTGGTAGGGATGGACACATGTTTGAAGTACTTGCTCCTAAAAAACTCTTACAACATCTATGTAAACTAAATCATAAAAAATATAACACACAGATTTTGGGCTGCACTATTGTGTACTATTTGTTGATGATATTTGTACACCTAATACTCATATATACTACTCGTTACTCATAGTATTTATATATTTTTTATCGAGTACAATTTAGTTAATTTTATATTCAAAACGAATTGTTCAGTAGACACCAAACAACATATTCACTCGTCAAATTTGTCTAGAGGCGGGTGCCACGGAATAATGCTATCATCAGGCCACTGTAATACTTTCGTGTTTCTAAAACTCCAAATCTAAAAGCCTTCTTGTTTGTTTTACGCGAACGCATTTTTGATACTATATCGCTCATTAGAAATAAATAGACAGAAAAATTTTAAATAGAAATTATACAACAATTGACATATTTGCACAACCGAACGAGCAGTTATTCACAATAATTTTTAATTATGGAACTTATAATTTGTACGAGCACCTTACAGACGTCACTTGTGTAGGTATATCCCGTTTTACAATATAATTGGAGATTACATCTAAATCTGTATAATATTATAATGTCAGCTTAGTATAGCCTCGTGAAATTGCAGTGATACTATCATCACATTATATTATAATCACCGGCTTTGGGGAGATTAAATAATATGTTATTTCCGATTATATTTGCGTACATATTATGAATATATTATGTATAAGTTTATTAAGTATCATAAAAAAAAAAAAAAACAAACAACGTACATTAAATACCTACAATAAATTAAACGATAATGCTCAATAAATAGGCATCATATTTTATATTCGTCGACACGATGATATTTAACATTTATAAAGTCTTTAAATAAATTTGTAGTAGTTTGATTGTTTTCTTTTAATATTTCATCGCGTTTATACTAAAAAATGAATAAAAAAATACAATATTTTCGACGGTTTTGAATTAAACTGAAGCGTTTTTCATTGTTTTTAATCTCTATATCAAAATCAAAGACCTCTCGAAAAAATAAAAAAAATATACCAGTGGAATATAATTCAATACGTTTACTCGATAAATAAACTATCACGGTATATTTTTTTTCGGTTCAATAAAAAAAAAAAAAATGTTTACAATAAACACAAAATGTTTCATCGTGTGAAACGAATTTCGCTTTGAGAATTTATGATTCTTTTTCAAACTTAAATTGTTCAAGAAAGATGAAATTAGTACGTAAAAATAAAAAAAAATAATTCTATTGAGCCGAAGAAAAAAATAAGATATTGGCGTGCAAATATTGTCAGATTAAATATTTACTATGACGCACTCGGATATTTATTTACCGATAAAACCACTACGCGTTAACGGGCAACCCACCTGTTGTTGTCCCGACGAAAGTTTATAATATAATAGGGTTGTGGTGTTTTTATATTTTTTTTTTTTTTACACCGAATTTGTTTTTTACGCTCCCAGTACGATAAAACGTATTTTTTATAGTTAGTGTACCGAATAGAAAATATTATTCGTAACAATGTATAGATACTCATTCTAGATTCTGAGTGTAGTGAAGGATGTATTGATTTCACAAAGATGTTTATTTTTTTTTCCTCGTATAAAATTTCTACCAGAAATCTTGCTCCGATATAAACGCACGGTACCATTTCTGAAAGAAAATATTGTTCAAATGATACTATTAAAAAGTCATTGACTTTCCAAGTGGTTTTTGTAATATCTGGAAAAAAACCAAGTTAAAACTTAAGAAAATTGGAAAATTTACAAAAATAATGATTTTATTATTTTTCAATTATGTTATTCGTTGTAATTCAGTAAAAAATATCCGTAAAGACTTGACATTTGGACAAGAAATTTATATTTGCTCTTTTTAGACGTAGTCGAATTTTCAAAATATTTAAGCCATTTTTATGCTATTAAAAACGGAATATATATGAAATGTAGGTGTTAATAAAAAAATATTATGGTCTTTTTTTCTGTGTACAACTTTTCTACCAGCAATTTGCTCAGATTTAAAATGATAGCACTTTTTCTGAAAGAAAATCTGACTGGGAAGGTCGGTACTAGGAAGACAGGTACTTTTGAGTGGTCATTTTTCGATTTTCGATTTTAGCAAAAGTTTATCGTTGCTTACATTAAATTACCTATAACAGTAGCTGCGCCCATCTTCATTATCGTAGGACATCTTTTTATCATTTCTGGTCTTGATTTGTGTGTTTTAATCGATTTCTTTTTTTTAAATTTTATTTCCAGAATATTCCTGAAATTTGTTCACGGTAGTTTACGGTGCATAATATTTTTAACAATAACGTCGGTTTTAACGATTTCAAAGGCCATCGTTGAGGTATTACGATTTCCATAAGATAACTGTTCTTATCTTGACTTTAGTATATCCAGCGGTGCTTTAACATTTCGGGTTTCGGTTTAACTCCCAGGTCGTTTAATGTGTAATATTATTCGCGATATTTTAAAAATATTACGGGTTTTGAAAATTTGAATTCATAAATTTTATTTTTTTTTTGGAGGGATGGAGCAGTGGAATTTCGATTGATTTTTAAAAGATTTTTTAATGCGTATAACTCACAGTAACTATATATTTTAGTACACTGCAGTGCGGCGCTGCTGTTGTATTTCAGTATCGTTGTACTAACACTATAATACATGCATTTAGATTGCATTATAATTGTTGAGGGGCACACAATAAGACACATTTTACCATACGAGATTTAGATAGGTACATAATAATATATACTTACGTAGTGACGTACACATTACGCGCTATACAGTAATAATATAACAATATACCCGTATTATGTTAGCAATTAAACATTGCAACATATGTTTGAACTTTCGCAGTGCGGATTTATTTGAACGACACCGTTTCGCCGTTCAAAAATTATCGGCCTATTATAATATTTGTTTAAAATATATTTGCTTTTAACCGTTAATTACATTGTATAGTTTCCTAGTCAAAATTCATGTCGTGATCGAATTTGTTCGCGTCCGTATGCGGGAAAACCGGGATTTTCGAAAAATTCATTAAAACACTCTAAATTTACGGCGATTGTACGGAAAAAAACGACCGCAGTTACAAAAAAAAAAAAACATTAAATTAGAATCGAAAATATTACGTTAAAACGGCAAAATTAAAAATGATTCGTATAACGGTGTGTGCTATAATGTTGTATCGTGTATTGTACAGAAATTCGGAGAGTTCATATGATTATGATTGTTTCAAATAGTGTCCAAAGCGAACAAAAGTAAATACAATTTCAGGTAAATTCAAATGATGGCGTACGGTACATCATATGAACCCTTTATAATCTCGGTGTGTTCGCAGCCAAAGACAAAATAATTTCACGGATTTCAGGCAAAAATCCTCATTAAACTATGAGACCCATAGGTACACGGTGCTGCGATAAACTTTTATCGTGTATGCAATTATATTGACCGTCGGTTACCAAATAGCCAGGTTTCCGCAAACAACCGTGATGGCACACCCATCAGCAGTGTTAGATGTTTGTTTCTCTTACGGATAACAGACGAATTTTAAAACCAGTGTACGAATTGTATTAATTTATCGCTTTGAAATATATTGGAGGTACTTTAACGTCCATATGAGTATAACAATATTAATAACTACTTACCTTATATTAATGCTACGTGCATTTCATTTATTTTTCTTCTTCTAATTCGTCATTGCTAATATTATTACCTAATAGACACTTCATTTCGTTTAAAAATACCTGACATTGTTCTTTTCGTAGCGTGATCGTACATCAAACACATTAATAAGTACCTATACATTATATTTTACTGCAGTATAACAACGCATAATCTATTAGATAAACATTATTTACTACTTATTTATAAACACTCTTGATATAATCCATTTAACGTGTTACGCGCTCAATTACTATACTTGATCTAATTTAATTTTAATTTTTTTTTTCACTGAGCACGTACTCGAACCGTTTTATTTCGTTTTTTAATAAGATTTGGAACAGTTATTATAACAAAGATTATTGCATTTTATAATATATTATATAAGTACCTACACCTTTTACTTGCAATCATAATTTAAAATAAAATATTACAATCAAAATATTTAAAAGACGATACAATAAACGCAGCACTGGGTAGATAGCTACAGTATAGGAATCTATTTTGAATTTGCTCCCTAAACGAACCATTGTAGTACATATAAAAAGCCTCGCGCAAAAACAAAACGTACAAAATAACAAAACAAAATAATCGATAAACGCGGTCTCTATAATTCTGTATAATATTATATAATACGCACGAAATACCGTTCGGTCGACATCAAACTCTTTTAGACTGACCCGCGTATAGTAATTGTGCGGAACAAACCGTTCCGAGCCCATTTTCTAACAGCACTAATATTATTTATATTTTTAGTTTTTCATGATAAGTTTCTTAAAAGTTCGGTTTTATACGATAATCGGTGGTGTGCAGCATAGATATATTACACATTGTTGACAAACCATCACTATCAACTGAACTCCGCTCAGAATCGTTTTTTCGTTAGAAATGGTTTTTATCATTTTGCTCACAGATGTACATTAAATTCCCTTCTGTGTGTTCTACCTCCCCAACGTTCTACCTACAACAGTGGCTGCACCCGTTCCCATTATCCTAGGACAGCTTCTTTTTAAACGTAATAATAATGATCATAGTCTAAAAAACCAAAATATTTAATTTACTGATTACAAATTTAATGGTGAACTTTTCCTCGTGACTCGGCTCAAATACAGCATATTACGTTTCAAGAATGATATACTAAATAAACACCCATATAATTCAAACCAATGTATAGGGGAGGGAGATATTATAATCTCTAACCTCTCGCCCCCTCTGCGTGGGTACGCCACCGACAATAATAAATAAATACTAAGTGCACGCGACGTCTCGCCGCAGGATTCATGTGACGAGTGAACCGAATAAACCGTTCCGTTAAAAAAAAAAATAAAAAACATACCTACTACGGGCCTTGTGGCTATGGACGAACGAAAACAAAAACTTAAATTGTATAAATACTATAGCCACTGTGTATACATATACACATGTATACACATATAATTATTATACTATAAAGCACGTATTACACAAAAGGTTCGTGATATCGACGACGCTGAATATTAATAATATTGTTATTAATATATAATGTATATTATCTGAAATCTCGGAGAGTAATATTATAATATCGCGACGTACAACACGATTTTTCTTTTTTAAATTCTGCACGGTTCGAAGTATGTATCGGTTTTACTATGATGTGTTTTTTTTTTTTTTTATTTTCAATCTAATGTATCGTACAGGTACACTACGCCCACAAGCATATATGAAAAATGATCGATTGTTAAACGTCATACTGAAGGGTCCCTTCTAAGCATTTTTTTTTTTGCTATCGCGAATACGACTTTGTTTTCATTTGACCAAGGTCGACTTATTGTGTTAAACATAATAATAATCACGAAATGATAATTTACACGTAGGTATAATGTACCGAAAGACTGCGAACGCCGCATTCTAAATTCCACCGCGGTATCTCGCGCGCATTTTGTTTTTTGTGTATCGCTCGTATTGACACACAGTCACACACATCATTAATCTATCAATAATATAACTTACAGCGATAAGCGAGAACGCTAGTAATAACAATAATAATCGCCAGGACCTTCGAAGCTCGTAACAATATTATAAAAATACAAGACATCATGATAACACAGGACGTAATAATAACACGTCGGAATAATGTCATAATATTATCGCGGTATTGTACATATTGTTACGATAGAGGTACACGCGGTTTGTTGACCCGTCGCAAATAATACAAACTTTATCATCACTTTTGATTATTATTGTATTGATACTGTATATTTTGATATCGCTCGGAAAGCCGCGACGCGATCGAACGAGTGTTGTACAAATAATAATTTCGAACGCGAATATTTCAATATTGACAGTTTTAGAACCAAAATAATATTTCGTTTCGACCTTCGAGTTATTTACAATTGTTATATTCCGAAATACACTATGACGGCCCATCACGATTCAGAGTTAACACTAGAAATTGATTAGTCTAAATACACAATACGATTTTTTCTTCTGATATTCAACTTTCGGGTAGTTCGCTAAACGTGTGGAGTGTTTGTTGCAACATAAATTTAATTTCCGTATCCAACGGTTATCGTTTATATAAATACAACCCCAACGCTTTGAATTAATAAATCCGCCAGAATTTCAACTTCATAAATGCCTTAACTATTTAGTAGGTATGTTATAAACGCTGTAATAGACAATGAATACAATATTTCCATTGTTTTCAAAAGATAATTAGGTAGGCGGGTAATGCTATAATTTATTAATGTGTACACAATTAAAACTAATGTTTGTTCCTATTTTATGCATGGAACATGGTTCGTGAATTTTAAAATTCCAAAAGATCCGTTGTTAATATTGACAATCATTTCGAGTTTGATAATAATATTATTGTCTAAAATAACTTTCTTTTTATAAAAATAAATTTTATTTCACCTGATGTAGAAAAAGAACAATGGCATAGGATGCACACAAAAGAGTTGCGTGAAATAACGAAATTACCATGCATATTGAAAGGCAGATAATGTTATGGTCTTGGCATAAAAATGCGTATACGGGCAAAAGTCCGAGCAGCTATAAAGTAAAAACTAACGGATAAAAGGCTAAGGAGTAGACTCTCTTTTTTGGGGATATTGAGTTTTAAATAAAATTATTACTCTGTTTATCTATAAATTACCTTAATAATTTTAAACATTATAATTACTGAGCTGTTTAATTTACTTACAAAATATTTGTTTATCTGCACACCTAATAATAATTGTCATATTTATGCACTGGGACTTGTTTTAATAATTTCTATTCAAACTGTCGTCGTTTAATTGGAAAATTTTACATTTTATCGCCCTAAAAACATTTTAATTACTGCATTTACTACTTATATACAGAGTGGTTATTTTTTGTCGCAATCCCGCCATTCCCAATTAAAATACTTTCTATCCAATTTTGCTCAAAATCTTCGTAGATAATTATGGATGGATCGTGATTAAAAAAAAACATATGAGTAGCAAAGCTCCTCACCAGAGTGACTAGTAGAATCGAGTTTTCCGTCAGCTAAACGTCAGCAGGCTTGTTGCCATTACAATATTTAATGTTTTATTTGTATAATTAATTAAAATATTTTGGCGTTGGATTTGCGCTAACATACAGACAGTGGGTCGAAAGTTGAATGCTCAAACCTTCGAAAGGCATCGCCTTGGCAATATTTCAATTTATATACCATACACATTTTAACAAAATTGTTTACTTTTATAATTCTGTTAGAGTATTTAAAACCCGGTGTATCCTGTGAAAACATTAAATCTGAGTATACGAATAGTTCGGAAGGGATTGAAACGATAAAGGCACATGCTTGGTACATATACCGTGTATATAAAATATTACAGCCCCCTGGCTTCATTTTGGAGGTTTGTAGTAGTGCACAAATCTAAAAAACACCCTTTTCACCCAAAAAATGGCGAAGTTCATATTTAAATTCAATCATAAATTTATCTCTTCAATCAACGTATAAAAAAAAAAAAACTCGAATTCCCGAGTTTGAGGTTATTTGATTTTATAAAAGTGTCCAAAAGTACCGAGAAATATATATTATAAACATGTAATGTATAAATTACAAAATATAGCGCAACGTCTTTTTTTTCGGGGAAAATTTAACGAAAAAAAAAAATCACTCAGTATATCATGTTGTTTTTCTTATTTATTATTTTATTTCATAATAATTTTTTAGCTAATCTATTAAAGTATATAGAAATAATATCATCATTGCGTTATTATAATAAGTCTGAAGTGGTTTAATTTTTATTTAATAATTATATTTCTAATATACTTATACAGAGGTCTACTATACAGTCAATATTTAGGTACGATTGCCTAATAGTACAAATTACGTATACGGAGCCATAATAATAATATGTAATCTTTTATTCTGATTAAAATTATAATGATGTAATCATAAAGTATACATCATGATGTAAGGATGTACAATATCAAATTTAGAATATTGTTGCTATAATATACCTTATATATTATTAAAATATAATTATTTGTAAACGATTATTACATAAATTATTAATTTTGATCTTTGACCTAAAGAAAAAAAAAAAAAAACTAAACGATTACCATAATAATATTGTCTGAATAGTTTTAATATTATAATGAATCTATTTATCTGTAGTGACCTCTATTAAGGGTGCAGATTTAATTATTAAGGTAAAGAAAAGTCATATTATGATATATATTATATTGTAGTATAGTATTATGAACAACATTGAAAAAAAAAATATATATTCTCAACTAAACATGCCTCCGGATTATCTAATCAATTATTAAAAATGCAATAGCAATTTGTTTACGTCATTTTTTTTAAATAATATTATTATCGCCGATTTACTCGTCTAGTTTTATGACGTGTATAATTTGACACTAAACGACTCGAATAACAAAAAAATAAAATAATTAAACAAATCACCTGGTTTTAGCGGGACTCACGCGCGGTTTATGTTCATAAATCACAATAAAACCGAAATTATTTAAAACAATCGTTTTTCTATACCTTCGATTTTTATTGACTTTTATTATTGTTTCACATTAACTTTATCACGTTAAGTTAACACGTCTTTTTTTTAGATTCTGGGTGGAGCGAAAAAGCTTATGGTTTTACAAAGATGTTTATGTTTTTTTTCTTATCTGTGCCAAACTTTTCTGCCAGAAGACTTACTCAGATTTTTAAGTGTAACACCTTATCTGAAAGAAAATTGGTGTCGGGAGGAAATTTTTCGATTTTCTCAGAATTTTTCTCATCAAATTTGAAGAACTAAAGTAAAATGGGAAAATATAAAAGATGTAGATATTAGTTGAAATATATTACGGCCTTCTTTTTTCCTGTGAACAATTTTTCTACAAGGAATTTGGTTCCAATTTATAATGATAACAATTTTTCTGAAAGGGGATTTGATTGGGAAAGGGAGGACATTTTTCGATTTTCCCAAGAGTTTTGCAAGCAAATGTAAAAAAAAACTAGTATAAAACTTATGAAAACCGAGAAAAACGTAAGATAACTGGGAAAATCCGTAAATTAAACATTAAACAAATGTTATTAAAGAAAAAAAAATACAGCCTTTTTAATTATATTTCTATTAAATAACATATATATTGTTGACAAAGGATCACTATCAACTGCAATCTGTTCAGAATCGTTTTTTATGATCAATGGTTTATCGTTGCTTACTGGTATACATTAAATTATCTATAACAGTAGGTACACACGCGTTCTTATTATCCTAGAACGTCTTTTTTTTCTTGATATAAATATTGTTATTAGTATATTTTATTGAAATCAGTATAAGATATTAATTCTGAAAACTGAACACTTTCGATGACATACATCATACGTCACAGTGTAATAATATTATATTCGTCATAATAATACAATTTAGTAAACAAACAAATTAATTAACAATTATTATAAACGATATAAAAACGTACTTTTTAGCTGCCGTACACATATTTTCATAATAATATTATGTTATATAAAATTGATGCACATTTTGAAATACTAGTTTATTATATTATAGACGGTTTTTTATATTTTTTTTTTTTTTTTTAAAATTACGACTATTTTCATTATTTTATAGCTGTCGCAGCAGTTTGATATAATATTAAAGAAAGCGCGATACATTTACAGTACAACAGAATAGGTGTGCGTAAGCAAATCCGTGACAGTGATAGATACTTCATAAATAGGTAGCCAAATATTGTTTGTAATAAAAATTTGACTTAAATACATAACGCCAATAAGTGATAACAAAACAATTATTATTGCGGCCCTTACACCGGAGTATGTTATATTATTTAATTTTGATTTGATTTGCGTGTGAAAACTTTTTCTACCAGAAAACTTACTCCAGTGTATATGATGTAGACCCTTGATGGAGATCAGGAATTTTCTGATCAAATGTGAAAAACCGAAAAAACCTGGGAAAAACGAGAAAATTTACAAAATATATTACTACAATTTTTTGATTTTTTTATTTTTTTCTGTGGACAACTTTTTTACCAAAAATTTTGCTACGATTTACGACAGTACTTTTTCTAAAAGAAAATCTGACTGAGGAGGTACTTCTAAGCGTTAACTTTTCGATTTTCTCATAAATGTTTCCCAAAATGTGAAAAACCGATAAAAAATAATGGAAAACCGGGAAAAACTTCGGAAAATCGGTACAATATTAAACAAATATTATAAAAGAAAATATAAAGCCTTTTTAATTATTTTACTATAAAATGACAAATATATTCTTGACACTATCAACTGAACTCCGCTCAGAATCGTTTTTTCGTTAGCAATGGTTTATCGTTGCTTACAGACATACATTAAATTTCCTTCTGTATCCTACCTTCCCAACTTTCCACTTACAACAGTGGCTATACCCGTCTCCATTATCTCTTAGGACTGTTTTTTTTTCTGTTCACGTTTTTTAAGTTGTTCAACTATAGTTAAATTCATTTTTTCCTAGTTCATCCGTATCGCCAAGTAACACATAAATCGACCTAAATAATTATATTTTTGTTATCAAAATACCAATTACCCAGTGTCAGGCACCTACTATCCCCCCCCCATTTAGATATTAAATACGGTGGGAGTAACTTATATGTAATTAATTGTCTACAATTAAATGTATGCTCAATCAGTTCGGTAGTTTGAATGAGAATCGTGGTCAAAAACATCTATCCGTCTAATCAAATTTTCGTATTTACATTATTAGTAGAATGTCAGTTTTTTTTTTTTTTTTATAATTATATAAATTTCATGTGCACGTGCATTGTGGTAGTAGTTAAATATTAAATATAGTTAATACGCAGAGTATTATGTGAATTAAAAAATGTAACAGTTAATTAAATAAGGTTGGTTTTTCAACTCACAATTCAATAAAAAATACACTCCGAATCTAAATATGTTCGCCGTTGAAATTTAGACATTATTTTTTACTGTGTGCCCGGTAATAAACAAAATCAAATAGTAATAATGTTGCCTACTTTAAACGCCTAAAAAATGATTCAGATTATATAACAAAATAAATAATTATTTCGCTTCTTTCACTTAAACAACTTAATGTAGTTATTATAATAACATCTATAAAAAAAAAAAAAGTTTGTTAATATTATTAATTGTTGTTTTTTTTTAATTTTTCAACTCTTTGCTTAATCTTCCAGAAGGTTGTCTCGCTCCTTTGTAATATCAACTATTTGCTCGAACAAATCATTAATCTCCTTTAATGCATGCTTTTTTTCGAATCTTTCAAACTTTAATTCCTGTCTAAATTTAAAGTTCTTGTCCTCTATGGCCATCTTCTCGCTAATAAGTGTTAAATCCGTGCGTCCGAGACTTTTAGGTTTTGAATATAAAACAAAAAGAATTGACACTGGGGAGCGGCCACTGTTGTAGGTGAGAAATTGGGAAGGTAGGATACATAAGGTTATTTCATTTATATCTGTAAGCAACGGTAAACCATTGCTTGACGAATGACGATTTCGAGAGCAGTTCGGTTATACATAATTTGAAGTGCCGTAATTTTTTTTTGCAATTATCGTTGAAAATTGATTAAAAAAAAAAAAGTCGTCCGAATATTTTGGAAATTTTACAACGTCTATTTAAGTCCAATATAAGAATTATTATAAAGTTTCAATTCTCTACGTATATTTATAACCGAATTACAACAAAAAACTTCCAAAAATTAAAATTCCTTAAATTCTTAAAAGTGGCTCAAAATGTTTAGCAATAATACCGTAAGAAAGTAAATAAAAAAGGCAACAAAAAAAGTGTTTTGTGATTTTCCGATAAAATAATTTTTTCGGGTAGAAAACGTCGTCCGTGTTTCTATAAAATAATGAAATCGTGAAATTGTACGTTTTCCTACGTTTTCTCTGACTTTTGGCGTCGAAAATCAAAAAATTAAAGTACAATCTAAACAACTTGAGCTTTCAGAAAAGACGCCACACTTATACATAGGTGCAAGTCTACTAGGAAAAAACGTGTCCGCAGACTAGAAGATAAGAAATTAAAATATAAACGGCACTGTAAGACCAATAGCTCCCTCGCAACGTTCGGAATTTAAAAAAAAAATTAATATACATTTTAATATCAATAATGCTAAGTACGTGTAAAGAATTATACCTAACGAAACGAAATCTGTAGGAGCTATTTTTTAAAAGTTGCGCGCGAATACGAGCGGTTTTTATTCGAAAACAAAACCATCATCATAATTAATATGCATAATATGTAATTTCCGATACATAATTCGAACTAACCGTTTAGCTGCTACGTAATTATTATTGATAGAGCGGTGTTCTCATTCGGTGGACTCGATTTCAGAGACCTACTTACATAATAATAACGCCTTCTTTGCGTAGCTGTGTAGATGCGTGTATTCCGTCCACGAGTAATCGGCCCGTCAAACCGTTCGCACGTTAAATAAATTAGGTTTTAACGTTATGACGTATCCCCACAATCGTTCCAAATCGGAACTACGGACACGCATATTATAGGTACGTCTTTACGTTTTGCCACTTGCCGTACCGAAGCAACAACGTTATCAACGGAAAAAAAAAAAAAAACAAAAAATTATATATATCCTTCGTCGCACTATCCGTCTGTAATGACGTAAAAATACACCGTGAGCAAATTGTATTATTGTTGTTTTACCTCGCTGTAACAACTATAGTATTATCGACGAGACGTTTTTACAAAGGTCTTAGTTGATAAAAAAAAAAAAGGTACATTTGTGTATTCTATTTTACGAGGCCAAAGTTGAGTATACAAATTATTATTATTATTATTATTATTACGTATGCTACATTTGATTCAATCGAATATTTTGCATGAACGCTGCATGAAAAAATTTAGTACATACTTTGAATAACCGAAATGACGAATTTCGAGTTATTCGGTTGTACCGTTGCGCTCGTTTGCTTTGTTGATTTTTGCGTTTTTCAACCGATGATTCGGCGTGCTCGCGAATCCTCCGTGTTACGGGTGTTCGACCCGCGGGTACGCCGGGTCATAAAAAAAAAAAAACACAAAACACAAAAATGAATCGAGAAAACTAGCGCATAGTCGGAACAAATTGTAATACACGTACGCGTTTATTTTATAGGTCACAGCGGTTATGGCAATACTGGTTTCGGTCCCATCTACCGTCTACCGCCCACGCCTACACGGAACATGTGAGTACTATTTCCATAGTAATATTTCCATACCGCGTTATACGACGTCAAATTCGCGCGTTGTCCGTTTGTTTTTTTTTTCCGACCGAAATAATTGATCTGTCGAATATATTTATGCCACTTTTTACGCATAGCGCGTATAGGTTAAGTATTACGTATCGAGCGGCCGCGTCATTGTCGCGGTTCGTTCGCCCGCCGGACGCGAGAACGTCCGAACGGTTTCCGTTGCCGGGACAATCGTCAACGTGCACCTTGTGTACGCCGATTAATGTTATCACACTTCGCGGACGATATTGTTGCTGTGTTGTTTCGTTTTTTTTTTTTTTTTTTCCCCCCGCGGCGAAACGGTTACGAATAATCGTCGCTGCAGCGCAAACGCATAGGCGATTCGCGATATCGTCGCGAGCGCGCGCGAACGGTTCACGGGCCGTAAGCGATTGCACGCGAATTTCGAAACGCCGCCGTTCCGAGACAGCCGCCGTGATCGATCCCCGCGCGACATTCGATCGCGATACGAACGATTATTGAACAACGCCGGACAACAATAACAGTTCGGGAGGACGAGGGAGAGGGGGATGATGGGGGGTGGGGAGAGGCGGGGGGGTTAACGCTATCGCCGAAACGCCACGGGATCGGGCCGCGCGCGGTTTCGCGTGTCGCGTGAAACTCGCCGCGGGGAATCCGATGATTGCGGGTGCTCCCGTCAGGCGATAATCCGACGACCGTTTTCCCGCCGCCGCAGAAATGAAAAACGCGTCTCCCGGGAACGCACAGATAACCGAAAACGCACGGTTTCCGCGCCGTGGATTTCGGCCGAAACGGCGTTTGTTCGCATTCGCTGCCGTATCGCACGGCGCAGTCGATAAACGTGCGCTCGGGTCGCCCGCCGTACCGTGCGAAACGCTTACGCGGAAGCGCGGCCTTTCCCGGAAACCGACTGGCCACGTGTTGCCGTAATTCGATTGCGTACGTTGTTGGCACACTCGCGGAAACGAACAAACGGTTTCGCGGAACTCCCTCGACGGCATTTGGTGTTCGGGCGGCGATCGGGTGCGCCGAATCGCGGGCGCTGACGGCGAAGAAATAATGCCGCGCGCGCGCGCGTGACAGCGCGGTCGTGACGTTCGGAGGTAAAACAAACGAAATTACATCAACGGAAAACCGAATTCAATAGTCATTCGGAGATGAGTGTTTATAATTATTATTATTATTATTATTTTTTTTTTTTAAATAAAAAAAAATTCGTGTTTAAAGCGGCGGATAATTAATCGAGTGTTTTATATGCGCAAAATTTGCCGTACACATAATTGATTTCCAAAACTTTTAAATCGATTAAAGTTTTCGGGACGGATTTTTTTTCTCCGATTCGATAAACTTAAATTACTATCGTATTTCACGAGATATGGCTCGTAAAGTTTTACTTTCGCGGGGACGACGGACACTTCGGTAACACCGCGGAGATAAAACTCCGAAATTCGAACGCTTTCTCGCACGGTTTATTATTACGACGCTTTTACCGCAAAATTTCGCTTTTCCGAATCTATTTTTATTATTTTCAATTTCCGAATTGCGGTCGTCGATAGGTCCCGCGGGTAACGTAATACAGGTGGCGGAGTATAAAAACACCGAACGGTTTTTAAAAGCCCTGGAAACTCAATATTTTAGCAACCTACACCGTACAGGCATACTTACCCGTACCGTATACTAACCTGTATTTGGAACGATTTTTTTTTTTCTTTACCGGCACCATAAAAAATACGTTTATATTATATGTCGGATACGTACTATATAATATTATATCGGATAACAGCACACTGACCGTATCCGCTACGAACTCAATTATTTAGGATCCGATAAAAAGAGAAAAAATACCACTATTTGAACATAAAGAAACGCGATAACTGGAGTAGATATCCGATTTATCAAAAAATATTAATTATTATAATAATTCATATAATAAAGAAATGCTAAATGCAAAAAGGGCGCATGTCAATATTTTAAAACGATAGATACCGCGCGCCTATACAAGTTTCTGTTACAGTCTGCAGCTTATGAAATTCAATTTAAATTTATGAGTTTTTTCCGTCTGTTTGGATAATTTTAAATTCTGAATGAAGCGAAGAAGCTTATGATTTTACAAACGTGTTTATTTTTTTCTGTCAACAACTTTTCTACCGGAGAACTTGCTTCGATTTTTATGTGTAGCACCTTTTCTGAAAGGAAATCGGTATGGATTGGTACTTTAAGGAAGTAGTTTTTCGATTTTTTTCCGGAATTTTTTTAGTAAATGTGAAAAACCGAAAAAAAATTTAAAAAACGGGAAAATGTAAGAAATGTAGGTATTGGCTAAAGATATGATGGCCTTCTTTTTTTCTGTGAAGGACAACTTTTCTACCATCAATTTTGCTCCAACTTACAATGACATTAATGTTTCTTAAAGGAAATTTGATTGGGGATGTACATTAGAGGTCATTTTTTGATTTTCTCAAGAGTTCTCCTAGGAAATGTGAAATGCCAGGAAAAAACATGGTAAAACCTCGAAAAACGTAGGAAAAACGGGAAAATCTATGCAAATATTGTTAAAGAAAATATACAAGACCTGTTTAATTATTTTAATATAATATAATATATATATTGTGGACAAATCATCACTATCAACTGAACTTGGCTCAGAATCGTTTTTTCGTTAGCAATGGTTTGTCGTTGCTAACAGACACACATTCAATCGTCCATAACAATAACTGCATTCGTCTCCATTATCCTGGGACAGCTTTTTCAAATTAGTGATTTTTAAAGTCTTCACTTATCATTACAATTATTAGTTTTTATGGTTTTTTCGGGAGACGTTTTAACCGGGTATTTTTTTCCGTGTATAATAAAAATTATTAAAAGTGCAAAAAAATGTGAAATTGAAAAATAATACAAATAAATTCCATAATATAGCCGCTACACACTTTTTAATTTCATACTGCGCACCTAACATTTCGTATTACACCAAGTGTGTGGAATTACACGCAATAACCATTGAAAACGGAATTTCCTATTTGATTTGTACGATCCGCAATCAGGCGACGTACAGTATCACTACTATACAAACAAAGGCTAAGATGTTTACTTTTTCTTACTGAGCACTTAGTAGTTTATAATAGGTTTATAAAAACATATTTTATCATTGGCAACATCAATCACCTCTTCCCCCCCCCCTCGCCGAAACAGAATTGTTTAAGATTTTAATTTGTGGTATGGTGGGGAGGGAAAGAGGGAGAGAGGAATATTTTTGATTAGAAAATCGACAAAAAACAACCGTTCGCAAATTAATTTCGATTTACATTTTTCCTCTACACGTATTACGTGTATTATCACATATAATAGATATATTTATTAAGCCATTTTATTTTGTTTTTATAAAGATTGGATCCTAAATTAATATAGTATCTACCTTAAAGACGTTATTTTAGATTTTCTCAGAGGGGCTTAATTAGTATATTTGTTTTGTTTTTTTTGTTTTTTTTTTTTATATATAAATTTACTCTAAAATAGTTAATTGCTCTGTGAACGGGTAGTGTTTTTGTTTTTTTTTTTTTTAATTCAAACGTGCATTTCCCGTTTCCGAGACCTTTTCGTCGACGACCCGTCATTTGCATAATACGTTTGTAGCACCGCATTTCGAACGCCTCTGTACTTCGCCTGTTTACCCGTGTCAAATAGTCCACACGATCGCGCTCCAGACGTACGGTTTTAGCAGGTTTTTCCGGACGTGTCGACGATTAATATTAATTTGTCGCGGTAAAAAGACTTCTCCCCCTCCCCTTTCCGCCGGTAAATGCTGCCGCCTCGACGCGACACATTCGCTCGGTCGTCTCTTCTGTATCGCGTCTTCCGCGCGTAGAACTCGTAGCGCTTGCCCGAATATCTCATATCTGGAGCATAAACAAATCGATCGATTGGTTCGAATATCCGTTTGACGACCTATCGGTTTTGTAGGCGCACGGCAACAGTGTCACAACGTTCTCCCGCCGGACCGGGGGTAATGACGAGAAAAAAAAAAAAAAAACAATTTGTTTGTTTTGTTTTTTTTTTTTCCGCCAGGCAATAACCTCATTGATTCGATTTGGAACGAGCACACGCCGCAGACGAGATAACGTGCACGGACGTTCATCGCCCGAATAATTTGTGTCGGACGTAACACGATATCGGCGTACACGCTATCACCGTACACACCGGTTACATTATGTTATTATTTTCCGTGTCATGCATTCTCTCGCGGCCCGGCGTTCCAGATTGAGCAGGTCAAATCGCCGCCGCAGCCTCGAAAAAATTGTAATTTTCTCCCTCGCTCCCCCCCCCCGCCCAACCCCCGTCCACTCGCCTATTGTGCGGCCGTTTGTTACGGTCCGGCCGGAGCGGGCGGCGGCTCGCGAACGTATTACGGTTTCGGCGGTTCACTCGCGTGCGTGGTTACGGCAATATCCCGCGGCGGGGCGGGTCGGGCCGTCATTCGAACGCGCCGGGATAACGATCCCGCGAACTCCGGCGATAACAGAGACGATCGAAATTGAAACATTTGTTATTTTTTTTTTTTTATATGAAATCTGTAAGAAAAAATTAGAATTCCGTTTAACCGCACGGTATTGTCCGTTTTCCTCCGGAAAACCCGGCCGCTCGGTGCGCCGCGTTCTCGAGAAACCATCGCGGACATATGAGGGGCAACGTGTGCCGGTTTTTCCGCGGGACGACGCGAACGGGCGGCGGGTGTGCGGGAGTCGTTCGGCGTTGCGAGCGCGGACGACGATCAAAGGTCGCGGCGGTGCCGTTGCATAATATTCGGAAAAAAGGCGTCGGGGTTTTTGACGGCGGCGCGCCAATAACCCAGTTACGACACCGCGGCGCGCGGCGATTAGATATATTTCACACCCGTAGGAAAACGGCCGCGAGAATGTTACAATAACGCGCCGCAACACGGTCTACACACAACTAGACCGGAAAAAAAAAAAAAAAAAACCCCGAGAAAATTGAATAACGTCGACGGCGATAACATTACAATATTACACAGTATTTATTATAATAATAATGTGCACGGTCCAATGACCCGGGCTCTCGCGCGTCCGAATTATACACTATTATATTCTCTCTTTCTCTCTCTCTGCGTACGCGCGTATAACACAACACGTCGCCGGGGCCCGCGGCGGAAGACGTAAAAGTGTAACGCGCGGCGGAGAGAAATAGCAGAAAAAAAAAAAAAAAATCGGCTACACGGCGAAAAAAGAAAGAAATTTCACCTATACACTCTCCGCGCGGTGAAAGTATTACGCGGCGCGATAATAATATCCCGCCGTACGCGCCGCCGCCGCCGCGTATTATACCGTACCCACTGCGTTCCGTATATAATAACACAATACAACACAATACTGTTGTGCGCGCGCTCGTCGGCGACCGTAATAGTTTCGTGAACTCGCCGTCGTCGCCGCCGCCGTTCACGTCATATCCCGGTTAAGGTCGTTGACCGTGTTTCTCCGGGCCGCGGCGGCGGCCCCGAACCCGACCGGCGACCGGCGCGCGCGATTTGACCTCGTTTCGGGGGGGAACCGAGAGAGCGCGAGAGAGCGAGCGAGAGGGACGGACGCGGAGAAAGACGGAGAGGAAATCGCGCGCGCGGACGACATCCCAGAAGACCGTAATAACGATATTGTTATATCAGTCGCGGCGTATGGTGTTGTCGTTACCCGCCTCGCGCGCGACGGCGCGCGCGGTCCGACCGTGACCGGGCCTCGTGAACGGGGCCGCGCGCGCGTTATTATTGTAATAGCAACGATAATAACGAGGTTGGGGTATTTATCGCGTTCGCGGGTCCGGCGCGAGTAGTCCGGGGCCGACAGCCCCGCGCGCGACCGCGGCGTTACGTCGACGCGCGGGCCCGCGGGATTTCGGGCGGTAACGGGACGTCGGCGGGCGCCGTGCCGCGTTTCAGGTCCAGGACCGCGTGGTCCGTTGGCGCGCCCGACCGTCCGCTTTACCGGCCGAGCACCGCGCTCGCGTCACCGCGGGCTCGTGTCGTGCTCGGGACGACGCGCCGGACTCGCTCTTCGTCGGAACGGTACCGCGGGTTCTGGCGCGTTCGGATTACGGCGTATTTCGCGAAACCCCGAAAAGGTTACGAGGCGCTACGCGCGCGTACGGCGGAAATCCTCGCGAGGCCCGAATACGCCGCTGCGCGCTAACCAACGACCGAGGATTTCGGCTGTTCCGGCGTACGGCTTGAGGATTTCCTCCGTAATCTCCTCTATCGTTTTTTCGCTGTTCCTTTCCAAACGTTTGCAAAACGCTTTTTCCAGAGATTTGTTTGCTATTTTAAAACGCCTTTTTGGGGATTATGGGAGAATATAAATCCGGTCTCTAGTCGATGCCAGAAAGCGCTGTCGCGAAAACGGGAAACGACCGGGTGCCGTTATTGTGTTACGGGTGATTTTTTTTTTTTTACTATTCTCAATGAGATTTTACATTATAAATAAATTATAATAGCTCGACAGTCGATATTTAATTATTATACTCGCAAAAAGAAGAGCGATAATCGAGCTATACGGTGGGAGAGAGAGAGAGAGAGAGAAAGACGGACAGTTTAGAGGCAAATGCCGGAAATCGCAGCCCCGCCGCAGTTGAGTGTACGAGCTGCTGTCGAGTCCCAATTCGAATGAATGACTGGTGGTAATAGATCGTGTGACCGGTGCATACGTAATCTGGTGTATTTATAGTCGACGGCGGGGCGCGGCTAATCTTTAGAAATTGAAACGGCGCGCGGTCGAGTAGGTATATTTTTAACCGGTGCATTCTATAGGACTGCACGCGGAAAGTGGTCCCGTTCGTTTTCGTTGCGAGTAAATTATCATAATTACAATGTTACCGCTCTGTCGATCCCGAGGCCGATCGATACCGAGTACCTTCAACGGAATTCGTTTGGACATTTTGCGACGGTTTTCGCGCGAAACGTCGCAGTCGGGCGGATTTCGGCCGTTTTCCGCGCTCGCGATATCCTGATCCCGTCGCAGCAAGGCGGGAGAGGGGGGAAAAGAGCGATACGAAATTCTACACGCCTGCACAAGGTTTTAATCCGTGTATTTCCCCCGTCCCCCTTTGTTTTTCGCGGGAGACACTCGCACGCGAGATTCGTGATGTGACGTTCGCGCAGCGGCGCGAGAGAGAATCCGCGCGTTTCCGAGGGCCGACATCATACGCTACCCTTCCCCCCCCCACACCGAACAAGGCGCGAAAGCCGACGACGTTTTTCGCGCTCGCCGAACCCCGGGGGATGGCGGAAATTTCGCGTACGCGGTTCGTCGACCCGAATTTACTTTATTATACGCGCGCGAAAATATAGTATACAGGTGTGTGTGTGTGTGTGTGTGTGTGTGTGTGTGTAATAATAACCTAACCGATCGTATTTCGAATGGGCGGGACGAGATTTTTTCGTTTTTTCTCCGCGCAAACGCCATAACATTCGAAAACGTTCTCTTACCCATAATTTAATATACGACACACAATATTATTGTTTGTACACACGCGCGTTACGGAGCCGCGAGCCGCGCGCGATCTCGCGCCGAAAACAGGAACGGCGCGGCGACGGCGTCTACAGGCCATAAAATGTTGTCGGCCCGGTCGTTGACGCGCGAAAGAAAGTTGGCCGTGAAAGTGGTCGTCGCGGTATTGTTCAAGTTCAAAGTCCAAAACCGCCGTGGCGGCGACCGTAATAGAGAGAGCAAAAAAAAAAAATACGATAAATACTAAAAACGTACAAGAAGTCGCGGTTGTTGCGTCGTCGCGGACCGGTCCGCCGACCGCCGCGATTCACTATCATTCCGCTCCGAAACGTTTGTATTATTATATTATATTATTACGAATAATATTGTTTTCAGAGAGAAATGGCGGCAAGAGAGAAATGGCGTGCGAGAGAGAGAGAGAGAGAGAGAGAGAGAGAGTGAGTGAGAGAGAAAAAACGGGGAACGAAAAAAAAAAAATGTGTGTCAAGTGAACGTTCGGCGGCCGATGCAGTTCGCGCCGACGAGAAATGCATGATTACTATAATACCATAATAATAGTAATATAATGTTTAATAATATCGTATCGTTGTAGCGATTATATTATATTTTTCCGCCGCCATCCGTTTCCCACGGGACTTCCGCAAAACGATATTATCTCGTAACACACGCGCTAAATAGAAAAAAAAAAAAAAAACCAACGTTACCTACTGACACACAATAATACGTTACAGTGTTGCTATTATAATACGCGTGCAACGCGATTATATTATTATAAAACAAATATAAGGTTGTTTTTGTGTTTTGGTTTTGGTTTTTTTTTTTTTTTTTTTAAATAATATACTATATCTATTATTTATAACGCCGGCCGATCGTATCGTAATGGTTCGCTGCTGCAAACGGTACCGCGTAGATCGGAAAATCGGGGTCTGAACATTTTACAACAATAGATTTTTATTTTTTTCTTGCTCCGATGTGTACGACGACGCGCGACGTGGATTCTCCTCCGAAAGGAAATATTCTCGGGGGCGGTACTTTAGTGAGGTTATTTCACGATTTTTATTTTTTTTATGGACAACTTTTCTACTTGTTCCGGTCAACAATGACAGCACTTTTTTCAAATAGGAAATCTGACTGGGGAGGTACTTTGAGGAGGTCATTTTTGGATTTTCCACAGGATTTCTCCAAATTAATGCGGAAAACCGGGAAAAACGTAGGAGAGACGTGAAAATCGGATCAACATTACACAAATATTATTAAAGAAGATGTATAATGCTTATTCAATTATTTTACCATGGTATAGTGTATTTTCATTTTTCGTTAGCGACGGTTTATCGTCGCTTACTGTTATACGTTGAATTCCCTTTTGTACCCTACCTATCAAACTTCCATCTTGAAACAGTGTCTGCACCCGTTCGCATTATTTTAAGACAGCTTTATTAAAGTTAATGTTACGGTTGAGTTCGGATGGTTTATTGAAGATTGATGTGAATTTTTTACAGGTCCGTTTCCCTGGGACCCGTAAATCGCCCCATCGACTCGGTCGGACCAACATAATTTTTATGTACCCGATTTATAAAACCTTACCTGACCCTACGACGATTTTTTAACTGTCGGGAATTTCGAAAAACATTTCGAATCGTGTACCGTCGGCCGCAGGAAATCGCGCGTCTTTCAAATTAATGTAGGTGAACGATTTGGATAGGTTTCACTAACCGAAAGACCGTGTTTTCGCAAAAATAAAGCGCACATTCTAAGTATTTTCCTTTAAGAATCAAATACTTTTTACAACTATTCGGAAATCGGAATACTACTACACTCGATAATGTAATTTTTTACAAATCGACACAATTCGCAGTGTGTAGAGTACCGCGAATAGTATAGCGTAAGCCCCCCGACGAGTCAATCAACTCCTGTTAAGCGCGCATTTATAAAATTTTGTTTAGTAGTTTTGTTTAGCCACAATCTTCTTTTTTTTTTCGTTTTAATGTATTATAAACAAATCGTTATAATATTATACACGAGTATGATACAACAGCCTTTCAGCGATTTATTATTGTTCTACGACGATTGCGCTGAAAATCAATGGGGGGACCTTCTTTACAGCCAAACGACTCGTTTATAGTGAAAACCACATTCCGAAATTTACAATCGTTTGAACGAACGGACCGACCGCGACAGACGCGGACAAAATCATGAAGTAGCTTACGCTACCTAATAATAATACATAAGAGAGAGTACCATTCTACATTATGAGCACATTTATATATATATATATACATTGGTCGATACGTTATCGCTTATTGTTATCAGTATGGCCGAGATTCCTACGCGTTTCCGAAATATTATTTTTCGATCGATTTAAAAAAGTACGAGTTGTCGTGTGATTTGTTAGATTAAGTGATAGCGTGTAGATAAGACACGAGTTTGCATCGGAGCCCTTAACGAGTCGACGAGCAACATTTGATTTAGCATAATATTTGAAACGTAATAATATATTTTATAATAATTAAACGTTTTAGTCTTTATATCAAAAAATATGAAATGCATTTTTTTTTTTCAAATACCGTTTATAGTCAATACTAATACTTAACGTAAAGTATATTATATTGACGTTGAGCGATTGTTTTTAAATACTTGTTGACTACTCGGCTAATCGCCGATTGACAAGCGTTTATTGTTTATTGACGACATAAATGTCTTAGAAGTTCACTATAGTATCAATGGCGCCATTTTAAATTTGAATAGGGGTAAGAAAATTTGAGGGAGGCTAATTGATTTTTTGATTTTTTTCACTGGGCAACTAAGTAATAATTTTCCTAATTAGGGGATTCAGTTCTTCCAAATCTATTAATATTCCCCAATTTTTAAATAATTATCCTTCCCTAAACTACTGACTCTTGTTGTGCCACTAGAATTCGCAAACAAATTTGTATTGAGATATTATTTTATTTATGCAAATGAAACTCATACTTACAAAACTGTAAGAAAAATAAAAAATTGCAACTATGGCAATATAAGAAATAATCAATAGTTACAAATGTTTATTCATTAGTTTAGAACTATTTAGATTATTTACCTAGATAGAGATGAAAGATAGTTAAAATCTAAATTATCTAGATAAAGATAAAAGATAAAACACTATTTATCAATTTATACTAAATTCTACAATCTAAAATTTCTATTAGAATTTAGAAATAACTTAAATAAACGATCCGGATAATATTATTGCCTATCACTGAATGTTTTTAGTATTGTTCTCTATTTGTACAAGGTAGGTTTACTAATGATACATTAGATTTTAACTTTCAAGTTCAATTTTTCGGATTTATCGATTAAGTATATATTTGTTTATTTATCTAGATGAATTTTGTTTATTATCTAGATAAGATAAAAGATAGTTATTTATCTAGATAACGCTCAACACTGTTTATTTATCTGCAATATCTAGTTCTAGTTTTATAGGTTTTACTGTTATTAATAATTTTCGACAGATCAATTTTTTCTTTTTTATTTTTTAATTTTTTCTTTACGATGGACAATAATCTATTTAGCAATAGCTAATGTTTTTAAATCGATTTTATTTTATTCGCAGTCTACGTAATGGATGTAACAGACCACGTGGAAGTCAAACACGAAATCTATACGCACGATCCGCTACATTATTCACCGTTCGGGTAAATCAATTAAAAGTACCGAAAGTAAAATAAAATATTCATTTTTAGTCTTTAATTGCATTTATTGGAAATTCGATCAAAATATGACCGACCATCACGAACACGTTGACAACGAAATGTAAATGTAAAACGAATAGTAATTTGCCATTTGTGTTCTGTCCTTTTTGGACGTTTAAAAGTCCGCAAAAACATAAATTACAGTGCCAAATACGCCAAATGTTTAGTCATTCATTTATTTAATCATTTAAATCATATAGATACCTTATTTCATCAGATTTTATGTTTAGGGAATAATAAATTTTGAATTCGTCTATTAACTAGCCCCAACAAATATTGTCATTATTTTATTTCTATATAATATCATCAATACGATTATTAAAATTAAAATTTTAGGCACAACGTGTGTACTCACTTTTCAATTTATTTAAACTAAATAACCCAAGGACGAGTTATTTTTTTTTCGAATTTTTGTCAAAGGACAACGTGTTAGGTAACGGACGTCTTTTAATCGATTTTATTTTATTTACAGCACTCGTAATGGATTTAACCTAACACGGATGGTAGACAAAAAGTCTACACGCACTTCGAAATTTCGTCCAAAACGATCGGCTACATTATTCACTATATTTAAGTAAGGTAAATTAAATACACGGAGTAATTTATTTTTATCTGGTGTTTACTTTTCATTATAGGAAATCCTATCAAAATATCACCGTCTACCGCGAACACTTTTACGATGAAACGTAAGTATATCACGAATTTTAATGAACCTTTTGTCTTTAAAAAAGACTGCGAAAATAATTCAAGACCACTTTTACAATTTACTAAATAAAATCCTCAGTCTCGAAAAAAAAAAAAAAAAAAAAAAAAACGAATCACTATGCGAAATGCATAGGTATAACCATTAATGCATTAAAACATCATCACATTGGTACCTTATTCCGTCAGATATTATGCTTAGGGAATATATTTTGAATTCAAATAGAATACAAACATTGATAATATTTTATTTCAATAATATCATCAATATTGTTATCAATATGGGAATATTATAGGCACGAAACGATAAAAAAAATACGCGTAGTCAATGTCAAATTTATTTAAAGAAAAGACTGTAAAGAGATTTTAAATCTTTTACCTCTGCGTTTTTGTCAAGGACAACGTTTTCGGCAAAAAAATGTCATTAAATCGATTTTATTTTATTTACAGAGCTCGTAACCTAGCAACACAGAAATCAGACACAAAATATGTACGCACATCTGCAATACGTTCAAAACGATCTGCTGCATTATTCACTATATTCAGGCAAATTAAATAAATACCCGGGATAAAAAATATAAAAATTAACTTTGATGTTTTTTTTTTCATTATTAGAAATCCGATCAAAACATCATTGACCATGGCAAACCACCACTCTGATGTCGAAATGTAAGCATAATACGAATTTAAATTTGTCCTTTGTGAAAAAATATTTTTAATCGCCTTTACATTTATTGACAGAGATTTTAAATTGAACTTTTTTTTATTTCAAATGCTTGTTTTTGGGAAATTTATTTTGTAATGAATTTTTTGAATTGACTTAATTTTAATTTTCAGCGTGCGTGGATGTTGTAACCTAACCGTACGGAAGTTAGTAGATATGAACTCTACACACATTCGCAATTTCATTCAAAACGACGTGATGCACATGATTCTGCGGGTTCAAGTCAAAGAATAGCTAGAGAAAAATATTACTTGTAAGCCTAGAATTCTTTTTTCTCACCAGAAATCCAATCAAAATACCACCGACTATCTCGAACACTTCAATTTCGACGTAAGTATAATACAAATGAAATTATGATTAGCTATTTGTGTATTGTGTATTCCGAATGTAAAGAACTGCGAAAATAATTCAAGGCCACTTGGCAAATATAATAATTATTAAAACCTGAAGTTCATAAAAAAAAAAAATTATTATACGATTGCACTGCGAAATTGCGAATAACCATTAATTTATTACGAAAATTTGAAACACTCGCCGCTGGTGTATAATATTAATATTTAACTAGTTTTCCTTAATCTTCTGCGAGTTATTTGAAATTCTAAGCGTAACGAGGAATGTATCATGGTTAGGTAAGTGTAGTTTTTTTCTGGTTCTAAAAAACTTTTTTTATTAGATAATCGGTTTCAATCTTCAAGTGTATTGTTTTTCCTGGAAGTATGAAGGTCCTTTTTAGATTCTGAGTGAAGTGAATAAGCTTATGGTTTAACAAAGTTGTTGTGCACAATTTTTCTACCAGAAATCTTACTACGATTTTTAAGTGTAGTACCTTTTATGAAAGTAAATCAGTGTGGGTAGGTACTATAAAAATGTTATTTTTCGATATTCCCAAGAGTTTTCCCAGAAAATGTGAAAAACCTAGCAAAAACATAAAAAAACCGGGAAAATGTAGGAAATACGGGAAAATCGGTACATTTAACAAATATTATTAAAAAAAACATGATAATTAAATTATAACGCATTTGTTATTATTTTACTATGTATATGTTATACATTGTTGACAAAGCATCACTATCAATTGAACTCCGCTCAGAATCATTTTTTTGTTAACAATGGTCTATCATTGTTTACTGATATACATTAAATTACCTATAATAGTAGCTGCACCCATCCCCATTTTCTTAAGATGTTTTTTTCACTATGGCTAGTTTTATTATATATGGTAAAAAAAATTAGGAAAAAGAGAAAATATACGCGATAACAATTTGTTATTTATGATTTTGTATTTCAGTAAAAAATAATCGTACAACCTAAAATTTTCACAAAATTTATATTTTCATTTCTAGACGTTATCAAATTTTCAAAACTGCCTTACAATTTTTCAGTTTTTTATAGTCATTTGAAATATTTGTTATTTTTTTTTTTAGTTTTTATTTGATTTTAAACGGATACAATATATTATTTATTATAGCCATTATATTTTGAAATCTAATACAATGTTCGTCATAGATCAAAGTAAACAAAATATTCAAAACAATGAAATATTTTGATTTTTTTTAATTAACATTTTAATGGAATTTATTATAAACCTTGATATTTCATAATACCGAACTTTGCTTAGAAATAATTTGCCATTGCGTACAGATATAAATTAAGAATAACCCTTTATAATTTTAAGTTCATTATATTTTTTTATCTGTTATTCTATCAGATATAAAATTTTGGGAATAAATACTGTATTCGAATAGAAGGCACATCAAAATATGTATACTATATATTCAATATAGTATCAAAAATATTATTATCAAAACAAAAGATAGGCATAAAAATTAATATTAAAAAAAATTTGTGTACATGGCCATTTTTAATTTTTAAGTACATTTATAAGGAAGGTATTCAAATCCGGATATATTTGAATATACGTCATTGCAGAATATGTCGTCTCTATGTCACATTTCCCGTTACTTCAAACTTTTGCATTTAAATTCGTTTTTAAGAAAATAATTTTAATGTATATGTACCTAGATTTAAATAGAAAGAATGAAAAGAGTGGGATTAATTTGACCCAATAAAAAATAACGAACAATAAGATAACGTATTCAAATCCGCTTTGATATTATACTTATCGCAAAACTGCGTACAACATTAGGATTTTAGATTCGGGATTATAGGAAATTACTATAAAAAACCTGAGTTTTGTTTACAATACATCTATTCATGCGCGATTGATGTAAAATTGCCTATATAACACTCCTTTAAAAATAAACCTATTGGTTTGCAATTTCTAAAGACTTAGTATATAGGCAATACAAAATAATAAAACGTCGAATTAGTTGTATCTTGATGAATTTTCTACTTGGGCGATTTGACGTTTTAATATTTTTTTTCGCAATATTCCAATATTTGAATCTATTTTATTTCACCAGTATGTTTTTTTTAATTATATAACAAAGTAAAAAAAAAAGTACACATTTACATAATATCAAATCATGTTTCGTTACTGCCAGCCATTCGCATTAATTATTGATCAAATTAATTATTTGCACAAAACATATCAATGTATTCGCAATACGATTTACAGTCGGCTTAATAAAATTAATTAAAATGTCTGTATATTTACATTACTAATGTGTGTTTTTTTTTTTTTTCATGCCACAGTCACAGCCGATTTCCTAAAACGAGTTTTCAATTATCCCGCAGCAATGAATAACAAACAAGGAAAAGAGCAAACCCACCTGGTCAACAGCTCAAATGCCATTCCTGTAGTTTGATGGATGTTATTATAAATAATTATTTAATAATTATTGGTGAGTTGCAATAGTGAGTTTTTGAAAAAAACGTATTTTTTCTTGGTGGTTATTTTTAAGTTTATATATATATATATATAGATAGATAGATATATTATTGTTTAACGAGTTTATTATAAAAATGAACAATATTGTGTAAATGCATACCTATAATACTAGTTAATATAAAGTTTATTATAATGATGTAAATGCGTACATATTCAGTTTGTATAATGTCAATGCAGACAAAGACCTGTTAATAACTACTAAGTTTTTACAATGTCAAGGCGTCAATTTTATTGACCGACTCCGGCCATTTACAATTAAAATTAATTAATTTAGTTATTTACGAAGGTATCAGTTATACTATTACCATGGCTATTTCAGTGATTTTGGCTGATTTAAGTTTAACGCGTGCTTATAATACCCGTTTTTTATTCGTTCGGTTTTAATTTATCATATTTTGTTTCAAATAATAATAATAATAAAAACAAATGTAAAAACTAACGAGTCCATTAAATAAATAAATATGGCGTACCTGCTCAACAATCGATTTAACCGTATACTCGTTGCAGACTATACTAGGTCGTTAGGTACGTTTTGACCGGTCGTCAAAACTTTAACGGTGTAAAATACACAAACTACATTATACCTATATATATATATATAATATGAATATATTTTAAGGATAGCAAGGTTTTACATTCTGTATCAAGTTTACGAATTAATTTACGGACTCACAAACTTTACCACAACGGTCACCGGGCGCAGCAAGTTCGACGAGTTTGGCTAGTCTACTATATGGCCTATATAATCTGACAGCAGACACTTACTGCACTTATCAGCTGTTCGTGAGACACGTCATTTTGGGATTAAGTACAGTGAATTGATATATAGATAAGTGTAACGATTGAGTGAATCATAGGTAATAAAATATAGATAACGGATAGGACATTATAGTTTTTCATGCCAAAATTATAAGAAATTGAGGCAGTTTATTTATATTGTAGCACTGCGACAGAATAACGAAACAAGACGGCCCAGATTTTATGATTATGTCTTCAATGATAAGCTGACATGGCCTATTCGTTACACTATTATCTATGATACTCGACGTTTGCACGGTTGAGCGTTAGAAAAATCGCAAAATGGCGGCATACGTGATAACAATTAGAAATCAATAGAAAACGTTTCTCCAGTTGGCTACTCTCTGATCATATCGTTATAAATACAGGCTCTCTGCGGTCAACATAACACCATAGTTTAAACGGGTAAAACGAAACAAAACAGAATAATGAATATTAAATCTAAAACGATGGCAATATTTTCAGTAGATATTATGATGTAAAACCGTTTTAAAATAATCTTTTGATTATAAACTTGACACGGTTATGGCTTACACGCCGGACAACGAAACGAATACTAACGTTTACAGACGTAAAATACAATATACGTATAATAAAATAATTGTACCTACTTCATTACTCGACACCAGTCAAGATCGGACAAATGTGGATTGGCCATTTCAAAAAAAACACACAACTTAATTGATAATATTACTTATTTATTAACTTACTTATTAATATTTATGTTTAATGATATAGTATCTAATAATAATAAAATGTACATACTAACTAGGGTGGTAGAAAAATAGCAATGATTCGATTCCGGAAAATATTTTTACTTGCTGCAACTAGTATATTAACTATAAATTAATAGAATTTCACTATAATTTAACAACAGTAATATTTTGAAAATCTAAGGTAACAATAAACGTCATATACCGATGTTAAGGCTGTATTAAGGCTCGTGTTTGGGTGAGATTAGTCCTAGTGATATATATCGTTTGTGGTATAGGAGTTAATACTTGCGAATCAGCTGACAGTTTTTCAAATGGTGAAAAATAGCCAACAATTTTGTATGAAAGATGATGGAACCCACTCTCTCTATGTTAAGCACAGTTAGACAAAATCATCCAATCCAGCAATGCTTATAAAGCATTTTTCATAATGTAGGCGTTTCAACCGTTTTAACACAATGACAATATAGTTACTAGACAAATTAATAACATAGGTTTATTTTTTTAAAGGACTTACATTTCATTTAGACTTATAGTTGACAAAACTAAGTTTATCTATTTTAGATTCTGAGTAGAGCGAGGAAGCTTATGGTTTTACAAAGATTTGTAAACAACTTTTTACCAGAAGGCTTGCTCGGATTTCTAGATGTAGCATTTTTTCTGAAAGGAAATCGGTGTTTGGAGGTCATTTTTCGATTTCCTCAATGGTTTTCTCATACAATTTGAAGAACCGAAAAAAAAAGAAAATGTGCGAAGTATATACTAAAATATTACTATTTTTTTCTTTTGCACAACTTTTCAATCGACAATTTTGCTCCAATTTTTAATGACAACAATGTTTCTAAAGAGAAATTTTACTAAGGAGGTACTTTAAAGAAGTAAATTTTCGATTTTCTCAGAAGTCTTCTCATCAAATTTGGAAAACAAACAAAAGGAAAATATAAGAAATGTAGGTATTAGTTAAAATTTATTACGGCTTTCTTTTTTTCTGTGAACAACTTTTATACCAGGAATTTCGTTTCAATTTGTAATGATAACAATGTTTCTAAAAGGAAATTTCAGTAGGGAGATACTTAAACAGGTCATTTTTTGATTTTCTCAGGAGTTTTTCTAGCAAATTTAAAAAAACTCGGAAAAAAATTGAAAAACCGGGATAAATGTAGGTAAACTGAGAAAATCGGTATAACATTAAACAATTGTTATTGAAGAAAATATATAAAGCCTAATTTAATTATTTTACTATAATATGGCATATATACTGTTAACAAAGCATCATTATCAACTGAACTCCACTCAGAATTGTTTTTTTCGTAAGCAATAGTTTGTCGTTTCTTACAGATATACATTAGATGCCCGTTTGTATTCTACCTTCTCACTATTCCACCTACACCAATGATCTTTTTATCTCTATCATATGATTCGCTATGATCTCGGTAGGTACCTCGTTACTGAGTATGCTCTATCACATACTTTCGGATACTAAATATCTATCCCCCGCATGGTCTTTCTCTTGGTCCCTCCTCCTTCGACTTTTCGATCATGTCTTTTTTCAGTAGTTTATATTTCGCCTGCTTATTTCTGCCAGATAAACTTTTTTAATAAACCTAACAACATTTTAGATTCTAAAGGAGCAAAAGGCTTATAGTTTTACAAAGATGTTTATTTTTTTTTATCCAAGGACATTTTTTCTACCAAAAATCTCGCTTCGATTTTTAATAAAATTGGCAGAAAGAAAATCGGTGTAGGGAGTTACTTTAAGGAAGTCATTTTTTTGATTTTCCCAGGAGTTGTCTGAACAAACTGGAAAAAACACGGGAAACCCCTGAAAAATATAGGAAAAACGGGAAAGTCGGTAAATTAAACAAATATTATTAAAGAAAATATAATAATTATATTATAATGCATATGTATTATCATTATTGCCATTTATTTTACCATAATATGCCATATATATTGTTGAAAAAGCATCACTATCAACTGAACTCCACTCAGAATTGTTTTTTCGTTATCTAACAGTTTATCGTTGCTAATAGATATACATTAAGTTACCTATAAAAGTGGCTGCACTCGTCCCCATTACCCTAAGACGTATTTTGTTTATTGAAGCTCATTTTACAAGGTGATCATTGATCAATCTATCATTCAAGACATTCATTTTCTCAGAAAGTGTTAACTTTTTTCAAAATTTCTATTAAAGAACATTTAAGAAACAAGCTGTTCTAAAATTTAACATTTTTTTTTTGTCACCCTAATTTTTGGCGGGGTGAAACGACTATCTACTTTTGATTTTCAAATGGCAACCTTTATTAAAAATTCCATGAATAGATGGAATAGTAATTAAAATAAATGTTGGTGTTTAAATTTTCGAATTCTGTCAACTCGTTCAGAGATATTCTACTTTAATGTTTGCGTTGGGGGAAAGAAGTGGACCATCATTTGTGTAGCGGCCCAGCGCGAGGCATTTTAATAATGTACTACTACTCTCCTCCGACCTAAACTTTTAAGTGGAATATATCGTCAACGGATTGACGGAAATTAATAATTTAAACACCAACATTTTTCTAAACTACTATTCCATCTATTTATGGAATTTTTAATATAGGTTGCAATTTAAAAATCAAAAGTAGGTAGTTGTTCACCTCCAAAAATAAGGGCAACAAAAAAATAACATAAATGTAAAACTGCAAAGTTGCTTGTTTATAAAATTTTCTATAAAACAAATTTCGAAAAAAATTAATTTTTTCTGAAATAATGAGTGTCTTATAGATAAATTGATCACTCTGTATTGTTCATTTTATTTACCTCTCTTCTGCGTTATTATAATATATTAATAAATAATAATATTGGACTACGAATCTTGTTTTGATGTTTCTCTCAAAATCATCCAGGCTATTTTTCGTCATATCATTCGTTAATCGTTGTTCGAAGTTGAATTTCTTATTATACCCAAAACCGTTTGAACTGCGATTGCCTTGACGTGACGTTTTTTTCACAATATATTATTTAATTTATTAATGAATATTTACATCGAATTAAGTATGTATTATTGAAACGTCCACCAAAATAATAATGCGTTATGCAATTACACAATTTATGGAAAACAAACATTTTTAAATTACAAAATTAATAACCAATGTTCAATGATATTATTTTAAATAATTCAATTATCAGCTCATTCTAGATAAATATTGTAAATTATTATTTCACAAACAAAATAACCGTGTAAACATAATATTTATTTAACAAACGGTAAAATAAATTATTCGATGCCCTGATAAAATAAAAAAAATAATACACGTGCACGGTATAAAATAGGAATAATATTAAACTCCTCCACTTTTTAAACAAAACAATAATAAATAATTATATTGAAGTCGACGTTATAATAATGTAATGTATAATTCTGTTTCAATTATACAAATTGACATTCGTTTTTTTTTTTATTTTGAATACTGAAACGAGTGAAGTAATTGTCGTGGGTGGTAATATTATGTTAATAGTGAAATTAACACTCACTGTTTAAAACAGTCCTCAGCCCTTTTAAGCGATATTTAATTAAAATGTAATGATATCCTTGTAGGTATAGGGTTTAATATTTTTTAGTTATTTTGCGACCACTCAGTGTAATCGAAACTTTTTTTATACACATTTCATGGAACATAATACATCATAGGTTTAACCCAGAAATGTCCATCGTGTAATATTTGTTTTACATTATTATAAATAACCTAATGAAATATTATATGGGCGTATTACTTTTTTTTTTCATAAAAGGTTTTATACTTTCCATTTTTTAATTTTTTATGTTTTTCACTTTCGTTAATTAAAACCATTTACCTAATAGCTTAAATTGTCCACTTGACGTACAGGGTTATATTTAAAAACATTTGAAAAAACAAAACAAGTTGTTGACAGAAAATTAAATCAGGGTTATAGTAGTATACGTCGTACAATTATATTATGCCAAAAGCTCTAGACAATTGGAAAAATATTCTTCCCATCATTGCTTATTGTCTATTTCCAATACATCCGGCCAAATAGCATTAACTTACTCATCTCACTTTCTCATTCAGGCGAATGTCTCATCTCAATATAGGCATTGACAAACAGACTTCTTTGTTGCACACGATTTTGACATACGATTTATTTATGAGGCTTTCAAACGTTGCCCTAAACGTTCTTAGTGATTTCGCCAAAAGACACAAAAATATTAGCCACCGACGACAAAATAAATACAATCTTTTGAAATGTATATAGGGTGTATATAATCATTTATATACGAGCCAAACTCAGGAAAATATTAAAATTAACGAATCAAAATATATGTGCGTTACATTATCCATTTGTCCAAACGAACGGACTTCATTTTTTTTTAAATCAAATTTCACATAAACGATTCCATTTCCTGTCTTCGTCACATACCTCGGGTTGATTTGTGATTAACCCGACTCAACATATTCTTAAAGATAAAATAAACATGCCGGGTTGAATATTAAAATTTAATATTTTAAATGATAGATCTGCAGTGTTGAGACGTAAATAAGTAAAAATCTATTTAGATAAAGATAAAAATACACAATCGCCCGGAAGTCATTTAACAATACAGATAATAAAATATCGTCTTCAACTCAACTAGTTGAGGTCAGTTTTTTTTTTTAGTTATATAAATTCATGTGCATAAAAAAAAGATGATATTCTTTTTGTAATTTTCTATTCTTATATTTTCATGAACATTATAGTAGAAAGACAAAAATTTAAACTGTCGAAATAATTCAATAAATGCAAACAGTGTAAATACCACATAGCTAAT